GAACGAGCGCTGCATTATCTGCTTGATGTGTAGGGTCTGGCGTGTTGTCCGAAGTTGTAGCGCGCCTGGCTTCATTAGTTTCCAGACTGCAGTCATGAAGCCGCTGATCCGGGCGACACCCATCGAACCCATAGGCCGCAGCCGCAGCCGCAGCAGCAGCATACCCCAGCGCAGTACGCCGCTGAGACGAGATTCCATCTCCGTGGAACGTGTGCGGCTCTCAAACCAAGCGCGGCCGGCCCGCGCGGCCACCTTCGTCCGGTCACATTTGAGAACCGTCCGTCGCCGCATCGTCTTCCGCGGCCGGGCGGCGGCCGCCTGGCGGCGACGGCGCGAACCAGGCCGTGACGGCGCCGGTCGCCGGCCCGGCCGTGACGTGATGGATTTGCACGGCGACCGACGCCGGCCGCAGGTGCGTGACGCGCCGCAGTCGTCATCCGCGGCTGCTGTCTCGGCGGGGCCCGGCTCGGTGTCCGGAGCCGAGCCGACGGGATCCGGCTCGGTGTCTGGAGCCGACGGGATCCGGCTGCGCGGCTCGGCTGCCCGCGGCGACGGAGCGCGCCAGGTTATCGTCGCGGTATGGGCGGAACGTGCCCCGCCGAGCCCGGTCATCGACTTGACGGCGGCCCGCGTGGCGAGCAGCCGCGCGCCGGGGGCTGGCCTGTACGACACCCTGCTACTGACATGTGATGTCGCTTCTCCTGATGCGTCACGCACGGCCGCAGGCACACCGCGTCAGCTTCTTCCATTAGATCTCCGGTGCGTCCCTGACGGCGTCAGTTCGTTCTCTGTCTGTTCGTTTTTCAGTGGTCGGGATCTGCCTGCAGATCCTGTTCCGCAGAGTTATAAAACGATAGCGTGTTACGGGAGTGGAAAATTGGTAACTCGTCCGTGGTCCGATAGAGATAATTCATGATCTGCTGCCGTGACTCGGTGAACATAACTCACGGCTGAACAGCCGATGCAACGGATAGCTAAGCCGGTCGCTCCTGCGCTACATCCTCTATGGGTACTTAACTCGGACGATTGCTAGTTACCACCGCCGTAAATCACCACAGCGCTCGTGTTTTGGACGATTGCAGGTCGTCGTCGCATTAAAACGGGCGTACATTTGGAGATGAGAGCCGGCCGGTGACAATCAGACGGTTCCTGTCCGAACAGCACGCCCCCCCCCCCCTGACTGACGTCAGCGAGCGGCCCGTGTGGCGGCCGTGTCCTTGTGACCGCCGGCCCCCGCCGGCACACTCATACCGGCGTTGGGTCGGTGCCGGGCGCCTGACAGGGACAGCGGCGCGCCGCCCCTTCGACGTCCTCCGGACCGGAGAGCCTGCGAGACACGAGCCGATGTGGCGCGCGCGCGCCGACCGGCGCCGACCTGACCCGAGCTGACGTCAGCAGCGCGGCGGCGCCGCCTGCGTGGCGACGCGGCGCGGCCGCGGCAGCCCGGCTGACAGCGACATGTCGGGCGGCGCACGGCCGGCGGCCGAAAATGGCCGACCGCCGACCGGCGCCGGTGGCCGGCGGCGCAGCCGGGCCTCGCCGCGGCCGCCGCAGCCGCCGCCGCTGGCCACCGCCGCTCGAAATATCCGCCGATTGAGCAGGCCGGCGCCGGCGGCGGCCGCGGCACGCTCGCCGCCTCGAAACGCGGAGGTCAGGGGCACGGGACTGACGAGCTATTAGAGCTGGTTTGGTCGGTTGTGCGGTTTGGTGCGGCTGGTTTCGTTCTCAGCTCTGAGGTGTACGGTGGCAGCTGCGCCGTATGGCGTTTGTACCGCTGAAAGGGCTGGCGAATCGCAGCGGTTTTGCGCAATGCCAAGGAGCATTGCAACGCTCTGACCAGAGCATCTCTGCGTGGTTGCCTAAAATCAGAGGGCCGTTGTTGGCCTTGGCACCCGTCGAATGCCGGACCCTCCCTCATGCCGGTAGAGCGCCACGGCCTAGACCGTGCGTAGTGCGGGAGCTGCCAGCGTAACGCCACTTTACGGCGCAGCGCGCCTCGGTACGCTGGTGGTTCGCCAGCCAGACAGCCAGGCGCTTGGACAGCGCACCTGCGCCGGCTGCCGCTGCCGGGGTTTGTTTGCGGCGTCTTCGGTTACAAGTGGGTCCGCTTCACCGACGCGTCGGCTGCTGTTCGCGGTCTGGTGTGTGTTTGTCGAGGCGTGGGAGCCACCACAGAGCCTGCGCCCCACACCCGGGTGAGATGCGATGCTCACCGTGCGTCCTGAGGAGCGGCCCTCGGGAATGTCCGGGACGGGCCTTCCCGAGGAGCCGCACTCCTGAGGAGCTGCACTCTTGAGGACCTGCTGTACTGAGGAGCGGCAGCTGTCCAGGACGGGGCCTTCCCAGAGGCTACACTCCTGAGGGATTGCTTTCGTGAGGAGCAGCCGTCCTGGGGAGCTGCAGTCCTCACGGGCTGCCTTTGCGAGGAGCTGGTCTCTTTAACTTTGCTCTAGTGGTGAACTGTGCTCTACTGAGAAGTGTCTCTGGGGCGACGCCTGCCCGGGACTGTGCCGTGCTGTGGACTGCGTCCCCGGAGTAGCTGCCCTCGTGAGGAGCTGCGGCCCCGACGAGCCGTTCCTGGGTTCCGTTACCTGCCTGGCACGGCAGCCGTCTGGAGGGCCCCCCTCCCCCACGTGAGCGCTCCTGGGAGCAGTACCTGCCCGGCACGGCAGCCGTCCGGAGGAGCCCCCCCCCCCCCCACGGGAGGGCTCCTGGGAGCGGTACCTGCCCGGCACGGCAGCCGTCTGGAGGGCCCCCCTCCCCCACGTGAGCGCTCCTGGGAGCGGTACCTTTCCGGCACGGCAGCCGTCCGGAGGAGCCCCCCCCCCCCACGGGAGCGCTCCTGGGAGCGGTACCTGCCCGGCACGGCAGCCGTCCGGAGGAGCCCCCCCCCCCCCCCCCCCACGGGAGGGCTCCTGGGAGCAGTACCTGCCCGGCACGGCAGCCGTCCGGAGGAGCCCCCCCCCCCCCCACGGGAGCGCTCCTGGGAGCGGTACCTGCCCGGCACGGCAGCCGTCCGGAGGAGCCCCCCCCCCACGGGAGCGCTCCTGGGAGCGGTACCTGCCCGGCACGGCAGCCGTCGCCGCTATATCGGCTCCGTCCGCCGCGGCTCGGTAAACAGTGACGTCAGCGCCGGTGACATCACCGCCGGCGGTATAAAACTGTTCGGCGGGGCACGGGGCGCGCCTCAGGCCGTCTCCGCGCCCCGGCTCCCCTCCCGCGCTTCCTGCCCCACTTCTCAGTGTGCCCCTGATGCAACCCAATATAAACAGGACGGCGAGCGGTGCGGAGTGGCGGCGGTCCGGGCTGCGAACGCCGACCCCGTCGCCGTGGCGGGGAGGCGCGGGCGGGACGGGAGGCGGGTCTCCGCTCGACGCGGTGGCGCCGCGGAATCTTCCGCCGCCGTGGTCGGTTAGCATTGCAGACTCAGAGCGATGTATGGGGCGCAGCGGAATCCTCCCACCGCCCTGGTCGGTCCGGATTGCAGACTCGGAGCGATGCATGGGGCGCCGCGGAATCCTCCCGCCGCCCTGGTCGGTCAGGATTGCAGACTCGGAGCGGTGCATGGGGCGCCGCGGAATCCTCCCACCGCCCTGGTGGGTTAGGATTGCAGTCTCAGAGCGATGCATGGGGCGTGGTCTGTGAATATTGGACATCGACGGCCGCTCCGATAGCGCGGTTGGTTAGAGCGCCTGCCTGCCGATTTACTCGTGCCCGTCGGGATGAGCGCGAGTTGCTGCAGACGCTGGCTATTTCCCCCTGATTGGGATGATGTGAGGCTGTTGGCAGCGACCGCACTAAAGGTCAGGAGACGTCAGGGAGCAGCACGAGCCGCGCCGAGCATCGCGGCAGCTTAAGCTTTCGCCGCAAAAATACGCCGCTCACCCGGAATTTCGCGGTTGGATGGTGGGGTCAGCGCGCACGCGACAAGAACTGCCCGGCGTGGGCGCTGCTTTCAGAAATCTATCCAATCAAAAGCTTCGGACTCAACCCTCCAAACAGCTGCTCCCAGAAATTTATCCAACCAAAAGCTTCGGACTCAACCCTCCAAACAGCGTCGGCCATCAGCTGAGCCGCCGTCCGCATCGACGGCGAGCCGGCTGTCCGTCCAGACGGCCGGCGTTTGGACGGCTGTCTGGACGGCCGTCCGTCCAGACTGCTGTCGGATCCGTCACCCGGCCGGCCGGCAGCACGCCGCGTTAGACAGAGACGGCCGTGGCGACGCGTCTGTCTCTGGGCCGATCGATTCGCCAGCTGTTGCGCAGAAAGCTGGTGACGACGCCGTGCAGGACTGCGTATCGGGTGGCGAGACAGGTGTGGTGCGTCCGGCTGAATCTGGCAGCACAGCAGGTAGATGTTACGCGAGACCTGTGCTTCCAAACACTAAAGCTGCATTTCTTTGGAGGATGAAGCGGAATATGATTCCGAACAAAAAACAAAATAAACAAAAACAAACAAACAAACAAACAACAAGGCAATTAAGGAACGTCGTATGTATACCGGCATCTTCCTATGATCATGATCATGCAAGCGACTGATAGGCCAGGCAAGTGTTCTGCACTTTGATTGTGTTCGAGCAGCACCAATGAAATCGCAGGCCCTCGATAACCAGCTCGCACCTGAACACTTAATATCAATGGAAGCTCCGCCCGTGCTTGGCTCCAAAGTAGATATTCTCAGCTGTAGATGTGAAAGCGCCGCCTTCCGTCTGACAGCGCCCGCATGCTGGGCGCTGCGTAGATGGGTATCCAGTGACAAATGAACTGCTTCACAATTCCCACCCCTTCCCCTGAGATCCTCCCCTTCGTCCTTGGGGTAATCGCTCCTCCCCGGTTAGGAACGCCTGCCCTTTATGGATGTTGTATTTTTGTGAAGACATCAGCAGCAGCATCGAGCACACGTAGGGAGCGATGATCTGGATGCTAGCTGGGAGTGGATGGTGGCGGGACTGGCAGTCGACTGTGAGCCGCACGTGACTTCCTTGACGCAGCACCTCACAGATACGGCCAGCCGGGCGTGGAGTTCTACGGCCAGCACAAGAACACCGACTCGGCCGTCCGCCAGATCGTCTTCCTCCCCAACCAGGTGAGACGCGCCGCCATGGCAGGTATTGGTTGCGAACGGGGCCGACCAGGAGGCGTGGAAGGCTTGTGTATGCGCCAGACCGTGTTGTGAATTTTTCGTCCGATTTCTCGTGTTGGCGTGGAAGCGCACGCGGTGTTTTGAATAGAACGGGAGCGTGGAGTCTGCGCCGCCGATTCCGGAAATGAACCGCCGCGTGCAATCGTTAGACGACGCATCAGCCTTCAGCGTGAGCCCGGCAGAGTGTGGGTATGACAACAGGCGGGCAGCGTCTCCAGCGGTCCGCGGCCTGGGTGGGAGGGGCTGGCGGTCCTCCGTGACCGGTTGTGGGCTCGCCAGCGTGATCCGCCAGTCGGCCGATGATGTCCATGTTTGCTGACTGCGGTGTTGTGGTGCGGCCAGCGGCGGCCGCAGGCCTGGTCTAAGCACAGCGTGTACCGCCCCCTGGTGCAAGTGAGTCGAGCTGGTCCCTGCTGCGGTCGCCTGTCGCGCCCTCTCACCTGACCGTGACCTGGTCGAGACCCCGGCGGCTCGCGCTGAACTCCCGGCACCTCACCCGCCTCGCCCTCTGACCCGACCCGCGTGCAGTGCAGTGCAGTGCAGTGCAGTGCAGTGCAGTGTGCAGTACTGAGTAGCGCTGCCCGGCCAGGCCGAGACGAGGCCGCCGCTGCCCCGGGGTCCGGCCGCGGCGTAAGCGCGCCGGCGGGCTGCTCGCGGTGGCGCAGATCCGTCATGTTTGGCATGTGGTCTCCTCAGCAGGAGCCCCGCGGTGGTGCCCTCGTAAGGGGGATAGCCGATGTCTGGTGCTCTCGAAAGGGGGATAGCTGATGTCTGGTGCTCTCAAAAGGGGGATAGCCGATGTTTGGTGCTCTCGGAAGGGGGATGGCCGATGTGTGGTGCTCTCGTCAGGGGATAGCCTGTACCCGCCGGGCGTCTGGCGGTGAACTGTGATCAGGATTACGGGGACACGCTACGCCTAAGCACACACGGGACGTGTAAGGCTCGGGGTCCCTTCCGACCCTCCGGGAGTCTCACAGACCGGCAGCGCGGTCGGTGTTCGGTGTAGCCCTGCTCCCGCCGCCGGGTCACCAGGGGTCACCAGAGGTCACCAGAGGTCGCCTGTCCATCGTAGGCTGGGGGGGGGGGGGGGAGCTGAGTTACGTGACCGGGTGGGCGCCCCCACGACAAGAGGCCTGGGTGGGGCCCGGCGCGCCACATCTCGATCGACCGGCCTGACCTTTGGTGACCCCGGTGTTGACGTTTGTAGTTCTAGTAATCTAACAACTAAGCTGTGCTGTTGCAGTGCCGTAGGAAAGTTGATTTATGCCCTTGCTCGTGCAAGTGCAGTACCCTTGTTTTGTATTCCCATTAATGTGTACCTGGCCAAGTGTGATTAACAAGTCTTACCTGTTTTGAAACCTTGCAAGAACTGTTTTGTGCGCTGCCAGTCGTCCGCTATGTATTGGTGGGACTATGTACAGACGCCGTCCGTAACGCCTCACCGCGGCACCGTACTCGCAGGGCCGCCTGGTGACCCACTGTGACGACAATTCGCTGCACCTATGGGAGATCAACTTCAAGGCGGGCGCCTCCGCCATGGAGGAGGTGCGCTCGCTCACCATGGAGGGCAAGTGAGTACACCCGGACAGGCGCCGGGCGGCAGGGCGCCGCTACGTCCGTGTCCGGACCCGGGTCCGGGTTCGTGTCCGGGTCCGGGTCCGGGTCCGGGCCCGGGTCTGGACCTGTGTCCGTATCCAGGTCTGGGTCTGGACCCGTGTCCGTGTCCAGGTCTGGGTCCGGACCCGGGTCCGGGTTCGTGTCTGGGTCCGGGTCCGGGCCCGGGTCTGGACCCGTGTCCGTATCCAGGTCTGGGTCCGGACCCGGGTCCGTGTCCGTGTCCGTGTCCGGATCCGGATCCGGATCCGGGTCCAGCTGCACTCTGCAGTGTGCCGCCCGGGCTGGTGGTCCCCGCGGCCACCCTCCGGGGTCTAGTCGAGTCCGTCGAGTCGAATCGAGTCGAGCCGATTCTAGCCGAGTCTATTTGAGTTGAGTTGATTTAAGTGGAGTCGAGTCGATTCGAGTTGAATCGAGTCGAGTTGGGTAGAGTTGATTTAAGCTGAGTTGGATCAAGTCGACTGGAGTGTTTCCATACCGAACAACGGTACTTTTTACTCGGCTTATCGTAACGGTGGTTCCATTGCTGATTGTTTACCGTTTTATAAGCCGATTTCACGTTCTGCTGGAAGCCGTCCGTCCCGCGTCTGAACGGGTTGGCTGCTCCGCCGTGAAATGGCTATCTCTCTCTCGACCCCCGGCCCCATCCCGCTCGAAGTCGCCCTCAGCCGCGCGCGCGCTGTCCGCCCCCAGACTGAAGACCATCTCCACCTGCTGCCTGGAGGCGACGGCCGAGCACCTGCTGGTGGGCACCGAGGGCGGCAACATCTACCTGCTGCAGCTGGCCTCCTTCACGCTTACCGACAACATCATCTACCAGGACGTCGTCATGCAAAAGTCAGTGCGGCTGTATCCGCGCGGGCGGCGCGCGGCGCGTGTGTGTCGCCCGCTTCCGCCCCAGTGCTCGCACTTGCTCAAGTCCTCGCTGAGAGTCGGTGGCGGCGTCGACCCTCCCCCCCCCCCTCGTGACGCGCCGCAGTGGGTAGATCACCGACTCGAGGCAGCTCCTCGCCGCGTCTGCTCAGCTCTCTCCGCGCGGGCGCGGGCGAGCTCCCGGGCCCTGGTGACGGTCCGGTACGTGTGCCGCGTCTCCGTTCCGCCTCGCTGATAGAGCAGAGTAGCTGGTCGTGAGCCCTGCTTGCAGCCGCCGCTCTGCCGTGCTGATTCAGATGGACGAGTGCCCTGACCCGCGTTATGGACGCGCGCTATCTGGGGCCATTGGAGCGGCCTCAGAGGGCCTGTAGCGGATCGAACCGACCGCGCTGTTTACGACGCGTCCATTCAGCGGCGCCGGAGCCTGAAATTGCCGGCGGGCCGTCCGGTCGCCGCCGGTCGTCGGCGCGCGCCGCTGCCTCCTCCGTCAACAAGGAAGCGCTTTGTTGGCTGCAAGTGTGCGCTATGGGTCCGCGTGGGGGGGGGGGGGGGGGTTGCGGCCGTGCCGCGGAGCTCGGTCGCTCGGGCAGGGAGGCTGGCCGCCGTGATGGAGGGGGTAGGGGGGGGGGGGATCGGGGTCGCAGTGAATGTGATGCGAGTTTCGTAGTGGTGACCTGTTGTCGCGCTGGGTGGTACGTGCTGTTTTGTGACCCTGCGTGGGCCCACGTTGTGAGCCGGATTTTGACTCCCATGTGACAACTCTTGAGCCCTGCCCCGCAGCGTGCCGCGCGACTGCAAGGTGCCATCATATAGCGTCCTGACCTGTCTCGACCTGCCGTGACCTCTCGGGACCTGCCATGACCTGCCGTGACCTGTGGTGACCCCTGCCCCGCAGCGTGCCGGACGACTACAAAGTGATGCCAGATACAGTGGTATGACCTACCATGACCTGCCGTGACCTGTGATGATCCCTGCCCCGACAGCGTGCCGGACGACTACAAGGTGACGCCGGGCGCGGTGGAATGTATCCGCCAGCACCCGACGTTCGCCGACAAGATCCTGGTCGGCTACAACCGCGGCCTGATGGTGGTCTGGGACCGTAAGCAGCTCAACGCTGAGCGTGTAGGTATCTGGGACAGGAAGATGGTCCACGGCGATCAGGTACTGGCCCCGGGTCACGCCGGGTCAAGGTCAGGGCGCGCCCGCCGCCGCCGCCGCCGGCGCCCCACTGCCGGGTGCCCGCCGCCGCCGCCGCCGCCTCCGCCGCCGCCACCGCTGCCGCCGCTGCTGCTGCTGCCATCGTGCGGGCGGGGGCCAGGGGTGGGATGCAGGGAGTCCTTCGGCGGGGAGAGGAGGACGGGGTCATGATGGGGCTCACTCATTGGTGGAGAGGTGATGCACAGGTCTATGCGTTGTGCGCAGTGTTGTTCGGCCCGCATGAATGTGGCGCCGGACCTGGTGGGGGATCCGAGCTAGATTGAAGGCACTGGGCTGAAGAAAGGGAATTGATTCCATGACAGTCCCGTCTCGATGTTGCCTTTTTCGCACGCCCCACTCTTCTCCCCTGCCGCTCTCCCCTGTGCTTCTCCCCTGCCCCTCGCCCCCGACGGGCGTGCGGTCGGGCGGCGGCGGCCGGGCCGGTGGCTTGCCGGACTCGCTTCTGCCTCACCGTAGAGTAGCCGGCGCTGTCGGGCAGGGCAGGGCAGCACCGGGCAGGCCGGGGCAGCGCCGGGCAGGCGCGCCCACCCACGTGTGCCGTGCCACAGCCCCCGGCCCCCGCTTTTAGTGAGCAGGTTCGGCGGCACTGACTGTAACCAGTTTGGTTGGTATGCGTTCATCAGCATGAGAGCCGACCCCGTTTTAGTTGGTTTGGGGTTTTGGCCAGTTTGGTTCGGTTGAGGTGCGGCTTCAACCGCATTTTGAGCGCGTGCCTGCTTTTTGTAAATGTCTGTCCGTCTCCCGCGGAGAGGACTTGTGTGAATACGTGCACATGGCTTGGCCGCCTCGTGCTCGCGCCTCAACGCAGCGCCAAATTGAAAGTGTGCACACACTCTTAGCGTCACGCTTCTGACTACGCCAGAAATCTATATCCCATCTGTCTTCGTAAAGCGCGGGACTCTGTCGGGACCCGTGCTTGCCCCGGTGACCTAACGGCGTGACCTGTGACCTAACCTGACCCGGGTCGCCTGAGACTCGCTGGGCCACTAACGCTGCGCGCGCCGCTGTGTCGGGCGGGGCGCGCCCACCGGCTGGTGGCAGACGAACGCCACGCGCCCGGAGAGATGCCGGCTCCACGTGTCCCTCCCCCCCCCCCCCACCTCCGTCGCGTGGGGTGAGTGGAGGGGGGGGGGGGGCACGGCTCGAGCTTGGGCTTTGAGGGAGTATTGGTAGCCCTTTATGACCTTGGGCTTTGAGGGAATATTGGTAGCCCGGTGTAAGCTTAGGCTTTGAGGGAGTGCTGGAAGCCGTGGTGAGAGGGGCCGGCCGTGTGGGCGCGCCTGGGCGGGGCCCGCGTTTGTGTGTTGTTTGTCGCTGCTGGTCTTGTGGAGTGCGCTCGTGTCGTGTTTGCATCGTGAGCTCGCGCGCCACGGACCGCTCCGCTGCTGGAGCAGCCGCGAAGTAGCACGGAGAACAGTGGAGCATTTTGTTTTGAGTGTCTGGTTAAAGTATACAGCTAGTCATACCAAAAGGCGGCTGGTACCCGGCTGGTAATAACGTTTTAAATCGATGCGTTTGAAACAACTGTCATCACGTATACGCTCCCGTTCCCTATCATTTCGCCGACGTCTGTCGCCGGCTGGTGCGCTTGGTCGCGGGCTGAGCGGCGGCTGGACGGAGTCCGCCCGCGGCCGCGACCCCGTCCGACCGGCGCCGTGACCCGCGGCCGGCGCTCGCTCCCGGCGCGTTCCGACCGGCCCGCCGCCGCGCCGCCAGACGTACGTGTGCAACCAGTCGCTGGAGACCGTGTGCTGGTCGAGGGACGGCGCCGAGTTCATGTCGGCGCACAACGACGGCAGCTTCATCATCTGGAACGCGCGCAAGCTGAGCAAGCCGGACGGACCGCACACGCCGTACGGCCCGTTCCCCTGCAAGAGCATGACGCGCGTGTGCTGGGTCACCGGCGACAGGTGAGAGGCGCGCGCCGCCGGCCGCCGGCGCTGGGGTGGTGCAGGGGTGGTGTCACTGGGGTGGTGCAGGAAGACCGGAGTGGCGAGGCTTTTGTGGGCGCGGAAGAGTTCGGCTGCCACGCGCGGATTGAGGAACAAAACGGCTGTTGTTTTCCGCGGATGTTGTTTTTTTTTGTCGGCGTTTTCTGGCACCGGCTTGTGAAAGAATGCCGTGGGGCTGTTGTTGTGACGTCCTGGTTCTGTACCGTATCATTCAGTCCCGTATCAGCACGTTGTCAGGGACGCAAAATTCGTTGCGTGGCGTGTTTTCAGCGTTTACCGCCATGTCCTGCCAACCGCACTGTGTCTGCCGCCGTGACTTGGACAGCTGAGACGGCTCCTCCCGTTGCGGCGGCGGTGCCGCGGCGAGCGTCACGTCCCGGAGGGGCCGGTGTCGGCGCGCGCGCGCGCCGCCGCTGCCCCGCCTCCGCGCGTCCGTGACTTGGCTTCCGCTCTTCGCCGACAGCGGCGACTGGGTGGTGTTCAGCGGCGGCATGCCGCGCGCCAGCTACGGAGACAAGCACACGGTGTCCGTGCTGAAGCGCGACGCCCAGCGCGAGGAGGAGAAGCACGTGGCGTTCGACTTCACCTCGGCCGTCGTCGACTTCGTGCTGCTCGGCGGCGAGGGCCCTGGTGAGGCGGCAGCGCACTCGTGGTGCGCGTGTCTGCCGATAGATGGTGGGGCGGAGGAGCGCCCAGGCCCGGTTGGTCGATACCGACTGTCTCTCTGCTCTGAAAGCCTTGGCATGTTGCTTTTGCCACCCGATAGATAGGAGGGTCTTTGTGGGTGACTTACAGGTAGCTTGCGGGTAGTTTACGGTTAGCATCGATGCTGACTTACCGCCGGAGTCTACGCCTGGCGGCCTGGACAAGCACAGGCACGGACCGTCGAACAGCGAGCTGTGTTCACGTGCCACGGCGCCGCGAGTCGCCTCGTGTGACGCGCGCGCCGCTCCGCCCGGCAGAGGCGGCCTCGCAGAGCCCGCACACGCTGCTGGTGCTGGCCGAGGAGGAGCTGGTGGCGATCGACCTCAGTTCCGAGGGCTGGCCCACCCACCAGCTGCCCTACCTCAACAGCCTGCACAGCAGCGCCATCACCACCTCCTGCTACGTCACCGACTGCGGTGCCGACGCCTACCGCCGCCTGCTGGCCGCCGGCGAGAGGCAGCGGCAGCCCGCCTCGCAGAAGGTGGGGCACCGCGACCGGGGGCGGGGCCCGGCGGGCCGTGTCGGCGTGTGTCGAGAGCGGGCGGAGACCTTGGGCAGGCGGACGGGTGCCTCGCGCGGCGGGCCCCGGCGGTCAGCGCGGTCCTGCAGGCGCAGCCGCCGGCGGCGCACGACGCCGGCCGCCGCAGACCCCGGTCTGCGGGCGGACTTCTCACAGGCTCGGTGGGGCGGGTGTGGGTGGTGGCGTCAGGTCCGACATCGCAACCACCGGAGCTCGGCTGAGCCCTGTGGAGTTTGGAGCGCTTGGCGCCCCGATCCGGGCCTCCGCGTGGGGTGGCGACAGCACATCAGTCGTCAGATGTAATACAAACAGCACCTTTTTTATCCCAGCGCGGACAGCTGCAGCTCGTTGCCGAAGTTGTGTATACGACGTTTTGCTAACGGTCTTTGCTGGACGTTTTTACTGGCTGTCTGTACCGTGGTGCACGTGATAACCGACTACCGTTTTTGTATGCCCCTCGTACTAGCGTGTTTGTATTACGCCAGTTCGTGCGGTCTGTTTTTGTGCCCGGGTTACGTCTGACACCATCATGTTGCATACCCAGAGGGTCCGACCTGATTTGTCCCGTCTCCGTTTTCATGTATTTTATGTAACATCTCCGTGCCGTCAGTCGTGTCTGTGTGTCATGTGTCTTGCCTGTGGCCTTTGCAATGTCTGCGTCCTGTGTCACGTTTGCGCCCCGTGCCATGTCTGCGTCCTGTGTCGCGTCTGTCTTACGTCGTGTGTCTGCGCTGTGTGTATGGCCCCGACGCGTCTGAGTGCTGTGCATCACCCCCCCCCCCCCCCCCCCACCCCACGTTTGTTCCGTGTATGGCACATGCCTGCTCGGCGTGATCTCGTTGTGTGACTGTGGGTTGTGCGTCACGTCTGCGGGACTATCTAGCGTCGTCGCGCCGTGTGTGCCGCCGATGTGCCCAGAGTGATGTCCCCGTGCCGCTGTGACCTGTTTGTGACCTACGTACCACGTGTAGCTTCCTCTCACCCCGTCTGTGACCTCCTCGACCTGTGTGACCTCTCGACCTGTCAGTGACCTCTCGACCTATCTGTGACCTTTAGACCTGTCTGTGACCTCTAAACGTGCCCGTGACCCCGTGTGACGTGGACGTCTGCCCGTGGCATTTAACCCACGTGCACTGTCAGTGACGCGTGTGTGACGTACGCGACGCAGCGGCGTCCGCCGCCGGCGCGTGACCTATGTGCCGCGCGCGGCTGCCTGTGCCGCCAGCCGTGGCCGGTGACGGGGGGCGAGCCGGTGGGCGCGTCGGCCGCCAGCCGCGACCTGCTGCTGACCGGTCATGAGGACGGCTCCGTCGGCGTCTGGGCCGCTGGCGACGTCTCGCTGCGGCCCATCTACAGGTCAGTCGAGCACGCGGCGCGGCAGCACGGCTCGGTGCACGGGTGTCGGTCGGCACTGCTGCTGAACGTGGGTCCGGACCGGTCGGCGACGGCCTTCGCGTGATAGGCAGTGGCGGCCTGGCCTCCATGCATGGCGCAGTTGGGAGGGGGGGGGGGGGGTGAGGGGGGCCTGCCAGATGTTTGATGATAAGTCGGCGGAATACTCGCACATTGGTCGGTAAGTGCACGTCGGCAGGTGGATGTCCCCCCTGTCTACCCCCCCCCCCTCCCAAACCCACTTAGCATGCCCAGATGGATGGTCGGACTGTGGGTCCCATCACGGTCGCACATCGCGTTCATTCATCCAGGGAAAATGCCAAAACGCGAAGAAACCCGAAACAGCCGCGCGTAGGAGACGGTGGCCTGGGTGGTCTGTTATCCTCCGCTTCCTCACAAGATGTCCTCGGCAGGCTTACCACGTCCCGGCTGTTCAGCGAGGAGGAGGACGACCGGGACGCGCGCGAGCGCGAGTCGGACGAGGACTTCCCGCCGCTGCGCTCCGTCGGCCTGTTCGACCCGTACAGCGACGACCCGCGACTGGCGGTCAAGAAGGTGGCCTTCTGCCGCGAGACGGCGGCGCTGGTGGTGGCGGGCACCGCCGGACAGGTCGTCGTCTGGCGTCTGGCCGACGACGAGCAGCAGGGCTATAAAGTACAGGTGAGCGGGCGGGGAGGGGTGCGGGCGAGGGTGCTGGGAGATGAAGGGACGTGAGCGAGGGTGTTGGGAGACGGAGGGGTGTGGGTGCTGGGAGAAGGAGGGGTGTGGATGCTTGGAGACGAAACTGGGAAGTGTGGGTGCTGGGGGACGAAAGGGTGTGGGTGTGGGTGCTGGGGGACGAAGGGGTGTGGGTGTGGGTGCTGGCGGACGAGACTGAGGAATGTGAATGCTGGCAGACGGAGGGGTGTCAGTGTGGCTGCTGGACCTAACCGCCCTCAGCACTCACCGCTGTCCGTGTCGGGGCCAAACCGACGCTGGGAGACCGCCGCGGTGTGACGAGAGCCCAGCTCGCAGCCCGTCCGCACACGCTCAACGAGGCCGGACGGAGCGTCACCGGCGTGGGGCCCCGGCGCGGGAGGCCCCGGGAGCCCTGCACAGGAGGCCCCGGGATGCCCGGCGCGGGGGCCCGGCCGCAGCCGACGGGCACGCGTGCTCGGTACGCCAGCAGGTCTTCACTACGACGTCCAGCCTTGTGACGCGCATCATCAGGCTGCGTTGTTGGTACTGCAGCCGGTGCTCTGGCTGCGATACCAACAACGTCTGTCTGTCGCTGGTCCGTCCATCCTCCTGGCAAGAGCGTGGACGGACCATGCTTGGGCGTGCTCCTCGCGCTCGAACCGCGGCTAGACCCGACCCACGTGCGCTCCGTGCTGAAGCGAGCCCGTGCCGGGCGCCGACGTCGGCCGGCGCCAGCGCGCGCGCCGGCCGCTCCTGACCGCCCGCGCCGCTCCGCAGCCGGTGCTGGTGGACCTGGTGGCCGAGCAGGACGGCTTCGCGTGGAAGGGACACGACCGGCTGCCGGCGCGGCCCGAGCCGCTGACGCTGGCCGCCGGCTACCAGCCGTGCAGCGTGATCCAGCTGCAGCCGCCGGCGGCGGTATCGGCGCTGAGTCTGCAGGTCAGTCGACGGCGGCCGGACGCTGTCGGAGTCGGCAGTCCTCAGTCCTCAGTCCTCAGTCCTCAGTCAGTAGAGTCGGTATCTACCTCAGTCGGTAGATCGGTTCTCGGCCAGCGTGTTGGAAGCTGAGTCCTCCGTGAGCAGACCCTCTCCGTGTTCTCGCGCGCAGTGTGGGGTCATGAGGTCAGCTGACAGTCTGCACGACATATGTCGTTTAGGTCAGGTCAGGTGGCAGTCAGCAGGCAGCGACCCCTGTTCTCACTCTCAGCCTCGGCTCAGCCCGCCAGGAGCTGTCGGGGACAAGCCGGCCGGCCAGCGGCGTGGCGCATATCCGTCGTCGTTTCTCCGCCGTGTGGGCTTCGTTCTCCGTCGTGTTCTCCTTTCAATTGCTGGGTGACGCGCTGGTCGGCAGCGAGTCTCCAGCGTCCGTGCTGGTCATCTGCTTCAGTTGAGAACGTTCTCAATTTATCACATGAAGAAGCATATCTCCTGGCAGGCTATCCGTAATCCCAACCATGACGTGCCCTGACGTGACGTGACGCAACGTGACCTGACCTGGCCTGACCTGACCTGACCGTCGTCGGCAGGACTCGTGGGGCCTGCTGGCCGCCGGCACCGGGCATGGCTTCGTCCTCTTCAACTACGTGCAGAACAAACCGGTCATGCACAAGTGCACCCTGAATCCCAACGGTGAGCAGCCGGCTCTGGGCAGTGTTTGATACGCGGGGCGGGTATTGATTTATAGTGAGGGGCGCTGCTGGACGCTGCTGTTGCCGTTGCCGTGGCCGTTCGTCGCCGTTTGAAGAGAACAGTCGCTTTCGAGTGCACATGGGTACGCGCAGTTCGTCAGAAATCGAGACGTTGCTGCCTCCAAAACCGCAGGGAAGGTGATGATCGTTGAGACGATCTTTGTCCGGTCGCCCGCCAGCGATGCGTCGCCGCTGGCTTGTCGATGGCCTGACTCGCCTTCTCAGTTTGGCGCATTTCACATGATCTGGCATGAACCCCCGGCCGCCACTGTCTAGTGTGGTCCGTTGAGGCTTGTCGCTGTTGGCCGCTTGTTGCCGCGGCTGGCCGCGCGCTCACTGACCCAGCACATGCCGCTCGTCGCCGTGTCTCATTCTCCCTCCGCGTGTCCGGCTTCCCCACCGGTGCCGCCGTCTAGCCGGCGCCGGTCCCCCGCACCGCCCTCACCGACCCGCCGGCGGCCGCCAGACTACGCCGCGTCGGGGGAGTCGCCGATGACGCGCGGCAAGTCGCTGAAGAAGTCGCTGCGCGAGTCGTTCCGCCGCCTGCGGAAGGGGCGCAGCCAGCGGGCGGCCGGGCCGCGCAAGGCCTCGCCGGCGCCGGCGCCGACGGCCGGCTCCGAGGCGGCCTCGCCCGCCGGCAAGGGGTGAGTGGGGCCGACGGGCGTGCGGGAGCGGCCCGGTGCGGGCCGGTTGGTCGCCGGGCCGGACCGCTGCTGCGATTGCTGGGAGAGGAGGGGAGGGGGCGGTGGGGACGGGTGGGGTCTGTGTGGGTGTGGGTCGCGGGCCCTGTGAACGTTGCGGAACGGTGTGTGTGTACGCCAGCGTCTCAGCGTGTGGTCAGCTCGTTGAGGATCTGGCGGATCCTCGATGTAGTCTTGGATCTAGTCTGGATCTAGGGTGGGCTTGGTTGGGATGCGGTTTGGAGTGTGGCCGGGATTTAACAGGTGATCTGACCTGGATCTAGCATGTGATCTGGTATGTCTAACCTGGATCTAGGTTGCTATCTCGTGTGATGTCGAATCTGGGTCTGGTTTGGATGTGGCCGGGGTCTATTACGGGATCTGATCTGGACCTAGTATGCGATTTGGTCTTTTGTCTAACTTGACTAGTCTGGGACCTGGGTCTGATGCACGCACTGGATGTGGGTGGGGGACGGACTGACATCTGCGTCTGCGTGAACCGCTGGCGGCCGCTCGGCTCATCAAGAGTTGATCGAGCTCCGAGGGCGAGGAGGCCGAGCTCGGCTCCGCCTGTACTAACCGGACGCTCCGCCCCGCCCTCGTCCCGCCCTTGCCTCCCTGTCGAGCTAGACTGCCGTCACGGACACCACTAGGGAGCCGAGCACCGCGCCCATGCACCGTAGACTCGCGTCGGGCAGGCCGCCGCGGCAGTGCCGCACCGTCGGCGCTAGCGAGGGGACCGCTGCCGGGGCTGGCGCGGCGCCAGGCTGCCACGCGCCGCGCGGCGCCGCCGGAGGAGCCGCGCGTCGTCGGCTCCGGGCTGGAGGAGGCGAGGGGCCGGAGGAGGGCGGCGAGGGAGACGGCGACCCGCGGGGTGGGCTTCAAGAGGGCGGCTGGTCTCTGGGCGGTGCTGAGAAGGGGTGGAGTTCGGACTGCGGGGTCGGAGGAGACAAAGGTCAGTCGGTCTGGGCTGGAGACGTCTCCGGTGTCGGAGGTGGTCTGGATCGAGCTGGAGGAGGCAGGTGAGCGAAGAATCGAGCTAAAGGAGACACAAGAGCAGATAGCTGCACTGGATCAGTCGGAAGGAGTTTGGATAGAGCTGGAAGAGGTAGAGCAGAGCGTGGGACTGAAGGAGACAAAGGTACGAGGGGCTGCGTTGGAGAAATCAGAAGAAATTTTGGTGGAGCTCGAGGAGAAGAAAGAGCAGGCCGAGGGACTTAATGAGACAGAAGTTCGAAGGGTGGGGTTGGAGAAATCAGGAGAACTTTGGGTAGAAGTGGAGGAGGCAGAAGAACAGAGGGCCGGTCTGGGGCAAGCAGAAAATCACCAAGCGAACATAGGCGACGAACTATATGGTACGCCGGAGTTAACAGAAGCAAAGCAACTACAGCCAGACTCCGGTAAATCACAAGATCGCATATCAGGTCCGGAGAGCGTCCACGATCACAGGTCCTACCCGGAGACGGACACCATCGACGCCGCTGCCCCGGGACATCCGCACGGCAGTCAGGAGCCGAAGTACGCGGCCGATGTGTCCGTCCGGAAGGCGGAGCGCAGCGCCGGCCTGACGGGCGCCGCGACCGAGCCCGCTGCTGCGACAGCCGACCCGGCCTCCGGAGCGCCGTCCGCCCGGCCGGCGGCGGCGGCGCTGCGTCGCGCGAGCTCGGCCGACGCGGCGCCGCGGGCCTGGGGCGCTGCCGGCGCTGGCGGCGGCGCCGCGGGCGCGGCGGTCGGCGCCGCCGCTGCGCAGCCGCGCCGTCTCGCTGGACGGCGCCGCCGGCCCGCTGGGCGCCGCGCTCGGCAGCGAGGTCGTGCTGCAGGTGGAGGAGCTGGCGACGGACGTGGCCGAGGGCGCGTCGCCGCCGCCCGCCGGCGCCGAGACGCGACGGCCGGCCGGGCTGCTGCAGGACCTGCGGCGCCGACTATCGGCGCTCACCGCCGCCGGCCGACGCTCGCAGGACGACGACGTCACCGCACGGACCGGTGACGTCACTGCTGATGGCGTGGTCGACAGCTTGACCCTGGCCGGCGCGTGGCGGCAGCAGGACCTGGGCGCTTTGCTGCGCCACAGCAGCGACCGCGCCGACAAGGCGAAGCTCGGCCTCGTGCCACCATCCAGAGATGGCGCTGGCGGCGGTGGCCTGCAGTCGCCGGCTCACAGCTTCCGCGCCACATTCGTAGTGGAGCGGCGTCGGTCGCGGTGCCGGCCGGCCGCCGTTGCCTGCCCGGCGGCTGACGGTGCCGCCGCCTCGCGCCGCGACTCGATGCTCTATTGGGAGCTTCTGCGGGCAGCCAGCTGCTCATGGACGGCGACGGTGACGGAGGAGGGCGGCGCTGGGGGGAGGAGCCGCCTGCTGGAGGACTGGGTCGGAGGACTGAAGCGCGCCGCGGAGGGTGGCGACATCAGCCAGTCGGCGGAGCCGGACGGTCGGGCGGTCAGTCGACCAGGACGAGACGCGGAGTCGGCGGCGGCCGCGGCGACGTCTGTTGGCGCTGTGCCCTGCGACCAGAGGAAGGGAGCGCAAGTTGGAGTCACTGCCGCAGGTGTAGAGATATGCGAGGCGTCGGCCAGCAGCGCCAGCAGCTCTTCGTCGGGGACGGTGGACGGTGTCTGCACACCTGCTCCCTCGCGGGAGACAGCGGCCGAGCCGGCGTGCCGCGGCCCCTCCGCCGCCGGCTGTCGGCTGCTGCGGGGCGCGGTGCCTGACGCCTGGTCCGTGACCATGTGGCGCAGTGCCGACGGCGGCTGGAGCTCAATGGAGGCGATCAGCTGGTGCCGGCCGCTCCCGCCGCGGCAGCCGCAGCTGCAGCCGCAGCCGCAGCCGCAGCCGCAGCCGCAGCCGCGGTCGCAGGCGCAGGCGGGCGAGGTCGGTTCGGTCCGCTGGTCGGGCGTCACCCCTCAGTCCTCAGGGACGGGACGGTGCGGCGCCGATGTCGATGGGGTGTCAGCGGCCGGCGCTGCTCCGGCGCCCGGTTCAGAGCGCCGTGGGAGTGGCACGGACCTCAGGCCGGTCGGGAGGCTGCTGGCGGAGGCCGTGGTGCACGCCGTGCCGGCGCCGGAGACGGCGGAGGCCAACGACGGGTTGGCGGCGGAGGCGCCGGACGACAGCACCGCCAGGCTGGATGTGTGTGACGCGTCTCCCAGCGCCGGCGCCGGCGCCGGCGGCGGGACACGCGCGGACGACCGCCGGCCGGGCGGCGAGGCCGGAGCCGGCTCGCTGGCGGCCGCCTGGCGCGAGATGTGCGCCGCGCTCAGTCCGCGCTGCTCCGTCACGGACTCCGACGACCTGCCCTCGTGCTCGGAGGCGCCGATGACAGCCCCCCTGACGGCGAGGAGGGCTCCGGAGGCGCCGCTGGCGGCCCCGGCGGCCAGCGGCGCGGGCTTGGTCCCGACCCTCGGGCGGCGAGAGGGCGCTGCCGCACGGCCCGGGGCTGGGCCGGCCCGGCGGTCGGCGCCGGCGGCGGCGGACTTCAGCGTCCGTGGCCGGGCGGCTGTGCTGACCTGGTCGGCGGGAGTGGCCGGAAGACGGCCGGCGCCGGGCCACGGCGGCGGCGGCGGCGGCTGCGGCGCCAGCGGCGCCAGCGGTGGCTGCCGCAGAAGAGACGCCCGCGGGGCGCCGGTCGTGGCGGCGAGACGGGCGCAGTAAGAGGATCAGGAGGGTGGGGCGTCCGGTGCCGAGAGGACGTCGGAGTTCAGAGCTGGGTTGTGTGAGACTGGCTGGAGTTGCGGTATTTCTGATGTCAGGGACGTCGCCGGGGACTTTGCCAGCGCTGGGAGTCGGGGTTTACAGGCCTGGGAGTTACGTGAAACCCCTGCTCCAGCACTTCAGAGAAAGACCGATGCTCAGAGCTGCCGCGTGTGGGCAAACATGCTGTGGGCCTGGGAACGAATCTTCCGAGTTTGTTTTCCTGTCCTGCCGGGGAGGGAGGGGCAGGGCGCTGTTCATCACGGCACTGGTGGCAGAGGACGTGTGCCGTTTTGGGGGTCTGAATTTTGCCCCGACAGTACCCGCCAGCCGCCCGGTACTGTCGTGTTAGTCCGATCATCGCTCTGGGTAGGCCGATTAGCCGGCCGCCCAGACCGCTGTCCTAGACACAGGTCGGTGTCGCTGATTGCACGTAGCAGACCCCGGCGAACGCCGGTAGCCGCACGTGCTGCGCCCTCGTATGGAGGCTTCGATGCGGTCTCGGGGCACCGGTACGGTGGCCCCTGCCCCGCCCCTGCCCCGTCCCTGCCCCTGCCCGGTCGGCGGTACCCTGTAGTGACGCGCCGCTGTACGCGGCCGCGGCAGGCCGGCGCCGCCGGGAGCCGCCTCCGAGGACGACGTGCGGCCGGTGGAGCGCTCCGTGGAGGCGCGCAGCGAGGACCCGGCCTTCTCCGGCATGATCCGCTGCCTCTACCTGGCCACCAGCTACCTGGCGCACGGTGAGCACGGGTTATGGGCGGCGGGTGTTGGCCGCGGCGGACCGGGCTATCGCTTTTACCTGCCGGGCTGGGTTATGGGTAGCTAGTGCGGGCTGGAGTTGGCTCCTGGCCGCCAGCTACCTGGCGTGATGTGAGAGTTATGTGCGGCTGGTGTCGGATGGGTTGGATGCACCGGACGGGCAGCTGCCCGGACCGTGGCAATTTATGGGCAGCTAGTGTTGATTGTACTGTTGCCCGGCCTGTGCATTGTTTTGCGCATGTCAGTGAGTGTCAGCTGCGGCCGACCGAGACACGTCACGGGCACTTTGCCACGGTTTGCTGGCTAGACAGCAGCTGAGCCCCTGCCGTGCATCGGTTGTGTTCTTCATGCCACTTTTAGCGGCAAAGGCATCGACTTCCAGACCGCCTTGGGCGCGTGCCAGCTGGGCTGACGGCTTACCTTCGTCACCGCAGCTCCGTGCACGACGCTGTTCTGCCTTGTGTGTGTGTTCGTGGTGTCACCAGCTGAGCCGGCGCCGGTCCGCTCGCCAGGTCAGCCGCAGATGCGCACGCTGTGGGCGGGCACCAACAGCGGCGCCATCTTCGTGTACGCCATCCACTGTCCGGCGGCCGAGAAGCGTGCCACCGAGGCCGTCACCTGGCAGCCAGGTGGGTGTGCGGCGGGGCGGCGGTCTCCTGGTAACCCTCGTGGTGATGGTGTCCGTATCGTTCGCGGAAATGTCGTCAGATTTGGAGGCAGTCGGTGCGGGGAGTGGCGGTTTTTCATCGTGGCGATGGGCCACGTGTGACCTGCTTCTCGTATGCATGTCGCCGCACGTGAAGACCCCCTGAAGCCGGCAGCGCTGGCGGTGCCCGCGCCGTGGAAAGAGCGAGAGCAGCCTTGGAGCGCCTGGAAGCGGCCTCCTCCCCGACCCTGACCAACGTGACGCCGGCGCGGGGCGCACCTGCTGACGCTCCGGGCACACGGCTGACGCCGGGCACACGGCTGACGCTCCGCGCGGTGACCTCGGCGCACGTTTGACCCGGCCGACGCCCGCAGGCAAGGAGTTCCGCCTGAAGCACGGCGCGCCGGTGATCGACATCCGGATCGTGGACGCCGGCGGCCGGTCGGTCAGCGGCGCGCCGCCGGAGGAGGCCGCCGCCGGACCCCACAGGGTCGTCATCGCGTCTGAGGAACAGTTCAAGGTCAGGGCACGGGGCAGGTTGTGGTCAGGGCAGCAAGTGGGTGCGGTCGTGGATCTGAGGACCGTAAATCTTCGGTCTTCGTGATTTTCGGTACACACTCTTAAGATCCACGCTTACGTGGATGTTGTGTTGCTTACGTGTGTTGCTCAGAACGTCATGCGTCGTGGGTCCTGCTTTTATGTCGCACGCATCCATGTTTTGTGGATTTTGCATACGTCAGGCAGTGTTTTGCGTAGTACACGCAAGCCGGGGCGGATAATGCACCCTCGGTCTACACGCCCACACGAGTGCTTGGATGAGCGATTGACACTTCCAATGGCAGGTGTAATAAAGGGCACACACATTGCACAGTGAGCGCCCACAGTGTCATCTGTTGGTGACAACTCGCACTGCTGTTTTCAGGTGTTCACACTGCCCACCATGAGGCCGTACGGCAAGTTCAAGCTGACGGCGCTAGAGGGCAGCAGGGTGCGGCGTATCGGCTACGCCAGGTGAGTACATAGGAGCATTTCAGTCGTTTCCATGTCAACGCTTTTTCCAGCTTTTTGGTGTCGTTGCTGAAACGTGCTGTTAGTTCCTGCTCCACGGTTTTTTGAAAGGGGCGGGATGTAGACATAATAGCAATGCCTGTCTTTTAGGGTGGGTCGTGAGATGCCCTAGCAGCTCGCCGGCCACTTTTTCGTAGCGCACCTGTTGCGCACCAGTATTCCCAATATTGTGCCCGAACGCTAACACAAACAAACCAAGAAAGCCCCGCCGGATTTTATGAATCATGAAAAAAGCAACCCACAGCCAGTCTTCGTCTGTCACCAAACATGTCTGAAGCCTGCTGGAATGGCTGCCTCCTGTGACGTCACCTGCCCCACTGTCAGTATGGGTTCTTGACGCGAGCGCGTGCTCTGCGGCAGGTTCTGCGCCTCTGCCACGGACGACTCGGCGTACACCGAGTGGTGCCTGATGTGCATGACGAACCAGGGCGACCTGAACGTGTTCACGCTGCCGGAGCTGCGCAGGCAGATGCACGAGGACAGCGTGCGCCGCGAGGATATCCAGTGAGAGAGAGCGCGCGCGCAGATCGTCTGCGTGGGGAACCTCTAGCTCGGGAGATTCTCTGACTCAGGAGGTCCTCTGACTCAGGAGATCCTCTGGATGCGGGGTCCTCCGATCGTGGCGTCCTCTGAACGTTCCCACCCCCAAGAATTCCAGGGTTCCTTTAACATGAAGCCGTGTGGGATCCTGGGTCCACTCTGGGGATTCAGGCACGTCTGCCTCTGGGTGGCGGGATCCCTGGCACAGTATTCTCTTGTGGGATGTCGAGGCCGGTGCTGGATCCGGCCCGTTCGCGTGGTCATCACCTATGGCCGGCCGTCGCTGTGTGGCTGCTATGTTATATGTGGTCCCCAGGGTGTCCACTGCTCCAGTTATGTGGTCGCCACCAGCCGTCGGCTAACGCGTGCTGTTAGTGACACACTCATGTCCCCACCTGTTTTGACCTGGTCCCACTTCCCCCCCACCTGTTTTGCCATGACCCGATCTGACCTGACCCGACCTCACCCTACCGTGACGGACCTGGCCTGACCTGACCTGACCTGTCCCGCGCCGACCCAGCATTGGGTTGCTATGACCCCACCCCCAGTTGCCATGGTGCCCTGGTTTGTGGTCCTGACCTGTGTTTGCTGCCGTCTCACCTCGTCAACTGTCCTCCGTGGTTTCAGTCTGCGTCGCCCAGGTTTGCTGGGCCTGGTCTGACCTGACCTGGTCGGCGCAAAATGTCCTCGAAGCCGACGCGCCCCTAAACGCCAAACCATCACCACGGATCTGACCTGATCTTATTTGATGTAACTCGCTGGTACCGGTCTGACCTGGCCTGCCCTGGTCACATCCGACCTCACCTCGCCCTGTGTGACCTGACCTGACCTGATCTGACCGGATCCGGCGCCATACCGCCCCACCTTGCTTGACCTGACCTACCCTGGTGTCGCTCGAACTCACCTCACCCTGACCTGACCTAGCCTGACCTGACCTGACCTGACCTGACCCGCACCTCGCCTGTCCTGCCGGCAGCCTGTCGCGCGTCCGCCTACGCGCCTCCTCCTCGCTGTCGCTGCCGCTGCGCTCGGCGGCAGCCGTGCTGCGGCGCCGGGCGCGCTCCTTGAGCGGCCGCGGCCGCCCGCCGCCGGCCGGCGCCAGCCTCGCCCTGCAGCGGTCCGTACCGGCCGCCAGGTGCTCCCCTCCCGCCTCTCCGGCCCCCGTCCCCCGTCCCCCTCCATCCCCTCTGTCCCCTCCATCCCCTCGGTCCCCTCCATCCCCCTCTGTCCATATTGGGTCAGTCTCGCCCTGGCTTCTGTCCTACGAGTTGCGTCCTTGTGTCTGCTCCGGCAGGTGGTGAACCCTCCTGTCTCTTTCGGTGTTAAGTTCCATGCACCCCCGGTCTCCAGCGGCTGGCTCCGTGTTGTGCTCGGCGCGCGTTGATCCTCGCCTGTCCTTTGCCAGCGTCACTCAGGTCTGTCCTCAGTACATGGTCGCCCTCCCTTCGCACTAGCGCCGTCTGTCCCCTAGCATCGGCCTGCGGTGCTCGTCTTTGTCCCATGCCAGCCGCTTCGTCCTTGGTGTACTTGGTGTGTCGTATTTTTGTCCCCCGGATCTGCTGTCGTTTCGCACACTCCGTTGTTCCTCATCATCTAATGCCCTCTCTCGGTCCCCAGTCGTCTTCTGTTCCCGGTCGCTTGACTTTATTCCGGCCTCTGAGCGCTGTACCGCCCCTTGTTCCAAGTCTCCGGCGTTCTTTGCTGTTGCCTACCTGACAACCTGTCGTCCTCAAGTTCAGTTTGGCAATAACCCGCCCGCCCGTCGTTACCCGCGGTTGTGTGGCGTTGGCGGCCGGGGCCTCGCCTCTGGCCACTGGTCGGGGCCGCCCCCGTGCCCCTCCCGCTTCGCCTCGCTCTGCCACGTGACGCGCGTGACGGCGTGTGACGGGTGACCGTGACGGCGTGTGACGGGTGACCGTGACGGCGCAGGGGCATCACATCGCTGGTGTTCACCGAGCATGGCGAGGCGCTGTACCTGGCCAGCAGCTCGCTGTACCAGCGGCTGGCGCTGTCCAGCGGCGTGCCGGTGCGGCCCGCGTGCCGGCTCACGCTGCCGGACGGCGCGCGGCCGGCCGCCAGCGCCGCTGCCGCCACGGCCGCCACCGCAGCAGGTCAGCCGGAGGGAGGGGAGGCCGGCGGATAGCGGTCGGGTCGGCAGGGGAGGGGAGGGGGAAGTAACTGTCCGTCCCTGTCGAGAGCTCAGGTGAGCCCTGGCCACCCTCCCCACTTGGCCAGGCGGGCAGGGCGGACAAGGACAGGGACAGGGACAGGTACAGAGCAGGGGGCAGGTGAGGATGTTGTGGCTGGTGGGGAGGGGAGGGATCGAGTCAGCCAGACCGGAGAGCCGTCAGCCCAGGCCGAGGGGAGGAGGAGTCCACCGTCGCCGCGGTCGTCAGAGCGTCATCGGACAGCGCTGCGACAGAGGCGACAGAGGCGGTAGACGGCTGGATGCAGGGCATAGTGCGATAGCGGCGGACATGGATGGGGGGCAGGCGGGGCCCAGCCCGGAGGCGGCCAGGCCGGCCGGTGACGGGCTGCTGCGGCCGACCACCGCTTGTGACGTCATAAGCGGTGGTCGAGCTGGTCGCGCTGCGCTGGTGTCACGACGTGTCACGCCCGAGACCTGTGGCCCGACTCTGGTGTCCAGATTCTGGCGACGGCGCGAGCTGGACGCGGCTCAGCGGCGGCGCCGGTGCCGCCCGCCGTGAGCGTGTCGGACGCTCCGCAGTCCCAGCGTCAGCACCTCCCCACCGTGTCCCTCCACCGGCACCGCCGCGCCGCTTTGGCCGTGAGCGTCGCGTTCGACGATGGTGCCTGACGGTGTCCCTCCTCGCGTCGGCAGCCGCCGCGTCCCAGCCGACGACAGGCAGCGGTGACGCGGCCGCGTCCGCCGCCGACACCAGCTGCGCCAGCGGCGCCGACACCACGGTCGACTCCCACCGCGACTTCCTCAGGTGAGCGGCGCGCCGGGCCCTGGCTGGCTCGGCGCAGGCTGCGGGCGGCGGCGCGCTCTGCCGCGCGGTGGAGGATGGAGACGTGACGGACGCAGCGCACGTCGTCACGGCGTGCGTGGGCCCTGCTGGCCAGGGGTTCGGCTGTGCTGTTCTTGCGCGGCAGGGCCAAACGCGCGCGCTTGTCAGCATGCGCTGTGAGCGGCTGCGAAGGGACGTGCGCGTCACTTCAGCTGTCGTGCCCCTGACGGTGCACCTTGTGTCTCTGCTGATTTGGTGTTGGTCTGGGCTGCGACATGCCTAAGCGAATAGCTCGCGGCCCATCTGGCGTGGAAGCGTCACGTCAGCCCCCATGAGTCCCTCTGCGCATTTCTTTGGCGGGGGTAAATTGGTCCGGGCGCATCTCATTGATGGGGTACATCGGTCCGGGCTTGTCTTACTGGTGGGGTAAGTCGGCCTGGGCGTGTATCGTTGGTGGTGGATAGATCGGTCTTGACGTGTCTCATTGGTGGGGGTAGATCGGTACGAGCGTGTCTACGTGGCGGGGTGGATCGGTCTGGACGCGTCTCATTAGTGGGCGTAGATCGGTCTAGATGTGTCTCATTGGTGGGGTAGGTCGGTACGAGCGTGTGTCATGGGTGGGGTAGATCTGTCCGGGCGTGTCTCATTGGTGGGAGTGGGTCGGTAGCCCAGGCATCCCATTGGTGGGAGTAGATCGGTCCGGGCGTTTCTCATTGGTGGGGGATAGATCGGACTAGTCATGTCTCATTGTTGGAGGTAGATCGGTCTGGGCGTCCCATTGGTGGGAATAGATCGGTCCGGGCGTGTCTCATTGGTGGGAATAGATTGGCCCGGGCGTGTATCATTGGCGGAGGTAGATCAGACTAGTCATGTCTTATTGTTGGAGGTAGATCGGTCCGGGCGTCCCATGTGTGGGGTAGATCGGTCCGGACAGGCGTCGCACGTTGCTGTCACGATTTAGGCTGAAGAATCGCGCCAGCTGACTGGGTAGAGTGCGGATGCCGACGAACCGAGGTCGGCTCGATGCCCGACCAGTGCCAGCTCGTGACCTCTGAGACCGACCGAGGTCACCACAGCACATGACCGCCGACTGACCCTCTCCCCCGCCTGCCGGCGCGTCAGCTCGACGGAGAAGGCGGTGTCGGCCTCGCCGGCGTCCGCCAGCGGCCCGGGCGGCGCGGCCGGCGGCAGCGGCGAGCCTGAGGTGGTGGAGATCTCCAGCGAGGAGGCTGACCGGCTCATGCACGGCATGCGTGGACTGGTCAACGGCGTCGGCGGGCAGGAGGAGAAGGTGAGAGAACAGGAGGGAGAAAGGGAAAAGACAGAGAGAGTTAGAGAGGGGACAGGGAGGGAGTGGGAGGATGGGAGAGAGAAAGGGAAGGACAGGGAGGGAAAGGTGGAGGACGGGAAAAGGTGGGAGGACAGGAGGGAGAAGGGAAAGGGTTAAGAGGGTTAGATAGGGGACGGGTAAATGTCGGAGGACAGGACAGAGAAAGGGAGAGGAGGTCAAGGACAGAGATGGGTAGATAGGGGACGGGGAAAATATGGAAAGACAGAGAGAGGAGGCAAGAGAACAGGATGAGTAGCGGATGGCAAGCGCTGATCTGCCGACATCTCTCCGTGGCGCCCCGGTGTGGGGATGGCCGTAAGACAGACTCAGAGATGGGCAGAGATGGGCAGACGTACAGACTCAGAGATGGGCGGACGATGATGAGACGGGCAGAGATGGACAGAGACGGGCAGACGTACAGACTCAGGAGATGGGCAGCTCGTAACGCCGGCCGGAGCTGAGAGACGCCGCGCTCAGGCCTCGCACCGGACGTCGCGACAGCGGGCGGAGCAGCCGTGCTCAGGTGCCTTCGGTGCCTTCGACAGCGGGCGGAGCAGCCGTGCTCAGGTGCCTTCACCGGCTCGTCCTCTTGCAGTCGGTGGAGAACTTCAGCGAGGAGAAGGACGGCATCAAGAAGTCGCTGCAGAAGTCCAAGGAGACGCATATCTCGGCCTCCGAGGACCCGGACAAGAACGTGACGGCCGAGCGGCAGGAGGTGAGGCGCCCGGCGGCTCGGCGGCCCGCGGCCCGGTGGCCCGCGGCTGGCGGCTGGCCCGGCCCGGTAGGCGGCCGCGAGGGTCAGGGAGAGCCGCCGGCGCAGGAGGGATCAGTGCCGGCAGTCTGTGTCGTGTTCGCGTCAACACAGCGAACTACGTGAAGTGTGCCAGTACGACGGTGGTGCGCCTTTTTGTGCCTAATGCGTGCAGCGCACGGAGCCAAATCGGAACTAGGAGCGAACGTAAGCTATGCATTCACTCACAGATCTAGATCAGGTACATACGGATCAGATGCAACTTCTCGCACTCGTGCAGAAGCATCCGTATACACTCTCTCACACGTAAATAGATCCGTCTGCGTACACACGAACACACACACACACACACACATGTGCGCTAGGGAGTCACGTCACCCCGCGGCAGACGCCGCTCACACGCGGCTCTCAGTGTGCGCTGTCACGCGCCGAGGGCTCACCGACACGCGCGCCCCTGCAGACGGAGCGGCTGCTGACCACCACCGAGTCGACGTCCGACTCCGTCACCACCCGCTCCAAGGAGGAGGTCAAGGTGGTGCGCACCACGCGCATCACGGCCGGCACCAAGGTGACAGAGATCGCCACGGAGCTGCCGCCGGCGGCCGGCAAACATAACGGCGCTTCAGGTGAGGGCTGACGCGCGGATGGCGGCGTGGCCGTCTGTCTCCCTGCCTGCGTGACGGCCTGCCCAGCTGTCTGTCTCCATGTCTTCCTGCCTGCCTGCCTAGCCGTCTGTCCCCCTGCCTGCGTGACTGCCTGCCTGCCTAGCCGTCTGTCTCCATGTCTTCCTGCCTTGCCTTCCCTCCTTACGCACGTGCTGCTTTACGTCTTTGTGTTTCCGTCTCCATCTTGTCCTGCCCCATCCCTCCTCTCTCTCTCTCTCGCTCTCTTTCTTCGTCTTTTTCGCTCCTCTTCGCGCCTTCCCCCTCTCACGTTTCCCTCCCTCCTTACCTCCCTGCCAGCTGCTTTCCCTCCTTCCCCACCCTCTCTGTCCCTCTCACTTTGTCAACCCTTACGCCTTCGTAGATGACTGTATGCGCTCTGTTCTTATTCTGTTCACCCGCACTTGTCACTTGCACTTGCCTTTGGCCGTTCACTAGCATTTTGCCGTACACTAGCATTTTGCCACAGCCATTTTGCTCGTGATTTGCATGTATTTGTGTAGCGACGTTTCTTCCAGTCAGGGTAGCGTATGGTCACAGTCACGGCTCGGCTCGGCCCGGCCCGGCCCGGCCCGAGCGGTCCACATTGGAGCACAATATAGACCGTTGCCGGACTGCTCCTAGCAGCTCCTTGTCAAACTGGCCGCCAGTCCCCCGCCTGTAAACAGCGAGCGTAGAAGGGGACCTGTGCTGCCGTGCCGTGCCGTGCCGAGCCGTGCCGTACCGTGTCGTACCGACCCCCGCTGTCCGCTCTGTGGGTCCGCGCGGCGCTCGATCCCCCGTCTCAGGGCAGGCCGGCGGCGCGCCCAGCGGCGCGCCCGAGGCGGCTGGAGCCGGCCACCGGCCGACCAGCCGCACATTTCGGCCGCAGCCATGGCAGACCTTTTGGCTGTTAAATTTTCCAAGCATATTATTTAAGCATTACCCTTGTTTCGTGTTGTTCATTTTAGACCTTACTCCAAACTTTGGGGTGTATTTGTAATATGTGCAGCTGTCTAGTTTCTGAGGGAGAACGTTGGTTATTAACTTACTGAGGTTGGCTTAGTCAATTGTAGTTATTTACCAAACCCCCTGACAAAAAGCTGGGTTTTTTCGCCCCCTCTATCTGGCCGACGTTTGGACGTCCTAGCCATGGGTGAAATCACGCATTGAGTTTGACACATGGCCGCGCCGCCTCGGGCCGCCGCGGGCCGCGTGTCGGTGGGCGCGCCGCCTCCCCTGGCCCGGAGCCGTCCGAGGCCCGAGGGTCTGACGGAGCCGTCCGAGGCCCGAGGGTCTGACGGAGCCGTCCGAGGCTCGAGGGTGTGACCGAGCGGTGACGGTGTGGCGCGCGGCGAGTCTGACGGAGCCTGGTGCGGCCGCAGAGCTGGCCTCCCGCCGCCGGCGTCTGCTCGCCCCCGGACCGTCGCAGGTGTTCGCCTCGTCGGAGGTACAGGCTGCCGCTCGTGCTGGGGGTGATGGTGGTGGTGGCTGCTGGCGGGGCTCGTGGTGCGCCCCGCCCCCTGTGAACCCCCGGCCCCTTCCGCCGCTCTGAGCCGCCGCCGGGACGGTGCTGTGAGGGTCGAATCCTGTGGTGGATAGGCCGCTAACGGAGAAGCCTAAAATCATGTTAAAGCCTTCCGATGCGACTTCATCGTCCGAGTTGTAACGTTTGGAACACCGGTGCCCATCTCTTCCTGCACGTAGGTGTCTAGCTGCCAGTTGCATTCATTTCGCGACCCGCTCACCCACACAGCTATGTTGGAGCTCGTGATTGTAAAACGAACGATTTCCAAAAGTTTCAGGGTAGCTTAAAACAGGGACAAGCCGAGCATAAACAGTGTTCTCTTTTGGCCCTCTTTCAATATATTCTGAAGATTTCGGTTATTGTTGGTTTCAAAATATTTTTTGAAGACACCAGATGCTTTTGGTTTTTGTTTTTGGCTATATAATCATGAAATCGGGCTTCAGCTTTGCGTTCAATCGAACTGATGCCCGTGGTGTAATATGACAAGATTAAGAACAAGAAGTCTTGCCTGCAATATTTCCCTTCACCGGAGAAGGAGCGGGGGGCCTGGCGCGCCTCACTTCCCCCGTCCCGCGGGGCTTGGCTTGGCACGGGCGGCAGGGGTTCGACAGCGGCGCGGCGGGTGGCGCCCCGCTGGTGCCGGCGCCGCTGCCGCTCGCCTGATGGTGGCGCCGCTCGCCGGCTCCGACGGCGCCGCGCCCCGAGTGGCCTTCGGTCGGCCAGCGCCGGACGCCGCGGGCGGCGCGGGGTCGGCGCTGGTATGCACGCGTTGCTCGGTCCGCACGAGGCGCTGGCTGCTTACGGGGCACGTGGGCCTGCCTGTCGGCGGCTGGGACGTGCGTTTGTGTGTGGGTGTGTGGGTGTGAGGGAGTGCGTGCCGGACGGGAATGCTTGTGACGTCACCAGCCGGTGGCTGCCTCCCGACTCCTCCGACCCCTGCCCCGTCCCGCGGCCTCCTCGGCGGACGTGCCGCCCGCCGGCTGCATCGCCGGTCGGTGCCGCCCCTGGCACCCCGCCGCGGCCGGCCGCCGCGAGGCTGCGTTCGGCCGCCGCGGGGCTGCGTTCGGCGGGCTTCCGGGACGCACGGTGACATGTCAACGGCCTGGGCGGCGCTCTGTAAATGCAACAACGGATAACGGGGTCAAGGTTCGGTGGTGTACAGCTAAAGCGAATTGCGGGTATAATGCGTCTGTCCTGGGTATTGGTCTTGCAAACGTTTCGTGTGCGTGTTTTTGTCGTGTACTTGAGAGCTGCCGTGGATTAGTATTCGCGTCTTGACAAACGTTCACTTGAATGCCGTGTATTCGGGATTGCCGATTATGAGTTTTATATGTTGTGTGCTCGTGCGTGTCGGTTTGAGATCCGAGATATCGATTGAGATTATCGAGATTGGACCCAGGACGGAAGGACAGGCCGGTGTGCCGTGGCGCTTTTAAAACATGGTTTGCAGGCTTCGATTTTTGTTTTGTTCATCTTGTTGCAGCAGTAGGAGCGCGTTACAGGTCATGATTAGCTTCAAATACTCTAGATTTTATCCTTAATATAAAATGTATTGGCTCACCGTCTGCCCCAAATCACGTCAGTTCGTTGGCATCGAGGACGTGCGAAAATCTGGCGAGACTAACTCAGCTGAAATTGCATTTTTTCCAAAGGCCCCGCTTGTGCAGCGTGCGAACCGGCAAAGTCCTATTCCCAGCAGCACCGGCGTACCCGCGCTCACGGGCACCCTCCGAGTCGCCGCGGCCAGCGCGACTCATCTGCCCTCTGCCGGCAGAATGATTACGACAACATAGACGGCGCCACCGGCGCGCCACTGGCCCGCTCCGAGGACACCGAGACCGACCTGTAGACCGGCCGAGAGGCGCGCCCGCCGCCCGACGCCGAGGGCGAGGGCGAGAGCGAGAGAGAGCGAGGTTGAGAGCGAGCTCCGGCTGTCGTGCGGAGCGCTGCGGACAGCGCCGGCTCACCGACCGTCCGGCGGCGACGCCGGCGGTGCTGGACGGATGTGTCATAGACGAGGCATTGCGGAGGGGCCCGGCCGCGGCGTGTGACGTCATCGATGTGCGTGGGGCGGTTCGAGAGGCCGGCCGGCTGTATTCGACATGGGACGTCGCTGCGTGCGCAGGGCCATGTGAGTCGGGGTGAGCGGCAGGCGTCTATTTTTGGTGTCAGCGGTATGCACGAGGCCTGTGGAAGGGCTGGTGTCGGTGCACCAATGCCGACGGCAAAATGAAAAGGGCCCGGCTGCTATATTTGACGTCATCCGATTGCGTGGAGCCTTTGGCGGGCGCCGAGCGACTGTATCTGACGTCATTGGTGTGCGGATGGCTGTACTTGACGTCATCGGTGTGCGTGGGGTCTTGAAGAAAGCCGAGCGGCAGCATTTGACGTCATCGGTGTGCGGATGGCTCTATTTGACGTCATCGGCGTGCGGATGCTACATTTGAGTCTTCAGGAGCGTGAGGCCTGGAGGGCACTGGACGGTGTCTGTGTTTGTATTTTATCTGGTGGCCGCCGCGTTGTGCGGCCACCGTCCAGCACGGCCCTGTGTCGGCCGCACTTCGGCTTTCTCTATTCCCCTCCTGGCGAGGCGCAGCTTTGGGTTACGCGCGGCCGCTTGCATAATACAAACGCGCTCGTTCGGTCCGCGTAGAGGCGTTCGTTGTTTTAACAGTTAGAGTTAGCGTTAATAAACAAGCGAAAGGCGCTCGTTAAACTGGTCTCTGAACGTCGCGCGAAGGCGGGTAAGTGCGCGGGGCGTGGTGCAGCAAATGCGGAGGACGGCTGGGCGGATACCTGAGCTCGTGGGCGCTACAAGAGGCGCTTGATACAGCTGGCTGTGCCCTCCCAGCCCACACTGACCCCCGTGAAGAGGGACCCTGGGTTGTCCCAGCGCCGGACGACAACCAACACGGAATGCTGTGCTATGCGGAGCACTCACCACTGGTTGGCCCGGGTTGTCAGCATGAGATGCCGCCGAGCGTCCCACGAAGGAAGGCCCGGGTCCGCTCGAAGCGGGCCGGGGCGACGCCGCCGCCGCATTTCCTGACGTGAATGAAGACGCGGTCCGTCATAGTACGCCCGATTAATCGACATCACCGGCCTTGGCTCCGACGCGCGGGAGGGCGGCTGAGGCGGCGCTGAATGCTAATGTGATCGACTCTCCATGTCTCATGGCCATCCGGCGGGCGCCTGATGAATGAGACCATCTATCGGGGAAAACGAATTGCATCGCAGCTTTGTTGTGCTTGTGTTTCGGAAGCTGAGAGAGGCCAGTGCCGATGTAGCTGTAAATCTGGTGGAGAATGTTGCTGTGGTGCGGGGCACGCCTGTGGCCATGAAGGGCTGCTGCAGTGGGCGCGTGCAATCAGTTTGTAGTCGGACTCGGAGTCAGAGTGAGTTTAGAACGCGTGCGCTCAGCAACGTCGGCCTGACCGGCACCCGGGCTTGTGGGAACAGGCTGAACGGGCCACGATGAGCAGCATGAATAGCGAGACAAGCGGCAGAGAGTTGAGAGGAAGGCGTGGGCGTGTCAAAAGCCGAGGACACTGCCCTCTCATCATCCAAGCCATGCGATCCAACCCGCAGTAAACTAGCGTCCGGCTGCATCTCATTGACTCTGGCAAACCTTATGAGGAATGACGTCACACTGGGCGTGTAAATAACGGCGACTCCAGTGGGGACGACTCCAGTGGGTTAACACCGGCGAAAGGCCGTTTGCAAGGGCGCGGGCTCAAATCAAGCTCCGAGGGAAGAAGGGGACCCGCACCAGGGTATACAGGGAACCGTACGTCGGGGAGCTGCCCGGACGGGTAACTTCCGGCGCTGGCCCGGGTCGCAGGTGACGTGGCGTACTGGGTGCGCGCTGCAGGCGATGTAGCGACCGACAGGATCGGACGGAAGACGGTGATTTGCTTTAACCCGGTTGTGCTCCTTCATGACATGGCGAAGTAGAAATTCAGCGGCGTTGTCGCACTGAAATGGCGAAAGCATCGTGCCTCCCCCTTGCCCGGGCCTATGCGTGCTCAGTAATTCTAACGAACCCGGCGATATGCGCGGTGTATGCGGGTTGAGTCGAGCCCCGTTTACATCGGGTATGCTGAACCTTGTACATACCGATTAACTCAAACCCCGTATGTGACTGGCAAATCAAACCCCCGGCGCCAGTAAGCCGGCAGCTTCACAGAGGCGCTGCGCTCAGTCCATCCGGAAGATCTCCGCGATCTCCGCGATCTCTGCGTTCTCCGCCTTTGTTTACACGTCAGGTTGCGGAGCGTCTATTTAACCCACGTCCGGTCGGGGGTCAGAAAACGCGCCCGGCCGGGGGAGGTCGACTTGGCCCTGAGATCTCCCACTTTCAGACGCCGTAACAGAAAAAAGAAAAGATACCACCGTGAAGGTTTTGTCAAAGCATGAATAATGCACACCAATTTTTCACCTTAGGTCAATGTGGAGCTACCAGAGGTCACGACAGCTGAAAAGCAGTCGTTCCGATAGATGCAGGTAAAACCTACGTTAACACGTCAAGACGTGTATTGAGGGCACGGGAATAAGTGTTAAGCCTGTGAGGAGTCCATTCCGACCATTTTTGGTCCGCAAATGGACCATGTGAGATCAGGCCGCCGTTCAAAATTGGTCTTCAAGTAGCCTACGAGAGCGATACTTTTCACAATGTGCTTCTGACTGAGGTGTGTATTGTGACTAGGTGCAGCTGGCGACTATATGGAGCTGTGGGACACAAACATTCCAGACACAATATACCATTTTAGGCTGGCCTGGAGATCACCTGAGGTCAACCCAGGTCAAATTTATGTACTATCCAACTAAAAAATGCAAGAGCTGGCCGGGTCTATGTGGCCAGTGCCATGCTTTCCTGTGGTAGGAAATAGTGTGCTATACATCTACAGGTAGTCAAGATCGCATATTAGTTGTCTGCAAGATGTGTAGTTCCTTCGACGTTTGGCAATATATTTGTAACGAACTGAGAATAGACACGTTGATATATGAAGTTACATGTCATCAGATCCACAAACTCGATAGGGAGGCGGTAGCACGTGTTGCGCTATTTCATTCAGCCTCTCCGTTGCTTACAACTCAGATCCTTGGCCTTGAATAACCTCATGTGAATGCATGTCTTCACGTGACCTATTGTGACCTAACTAAGCATTAAAGTTATATTGCAACATGTTCTCGGCGAATTATTGGAACTATACGTCTAAAATTATCCATCGGAATTGCCTATATGAACTCAGCATGTGTTTCGCAGAAAAACCCGTAGAGATAGGTCATGACCTGGGCCAAGCTCATGTGCCCTGTCGTCATATCATGGTTGTGCATGTGAGTTAGTACTTACTTTCTCACATACAAACACCAAAACTACACTGAAATGCGTGCAAGTTTGCAATATTTACGAAACGTAGCAAAGGTTTACTTGATATCAGATCACTGACACCGTCTTTATCGAAAAATCTGAAGGATATGACCTCTACGACCTATGACCTAAGGATATGACCTCTCTGTGACCTAAGTTTGAGCAACAGCAAATGACCTGCAAACAAATTATGTTTAAAAAAGTCAAAGTTTTTTAGACGTTGACCGCGTGGACCTGACCCAGGCCACTGGTCTTCGCAGATCAGAACTTCGAATTTGAAAATAGAATGTCAAATCAATGGACAAACAGGTGCTGAAAATTTAGTGTTGTAAGGGTTTCCTCGTGACCTGTGCTCGAAAAATCGTAAGGTAAAAATAGTAAAAATCGTAATCGTAAAATCCATAAACTTCCCACGGCAGGGCGCGGGTGAAACATCGTCAGCGATTTCGCTTTTGTTCAGGTGCGCGAAAGCCCTTTATGACTATGACTCAAAACCACTTATGCTGGATTCGATCTTGCGGGTTCCTCAAGTTTTCCGTCGTGCAGGAATGTCGTGCCGTGTTCAATTACACCCGCTTTCCCTAAGCGTGGGAAGCCACCACGGCTCACGTGGGAACTTTGAAGAACATAGCTGACACGCACCCGAGGCCTCCGTCCAAGGCTCCAGAGGTCAGAGGGCGGCCCTCTGGCCGGGCATTACTGCCGATGACGCCCCCCTCCGATGCTCCCCTGCAGTCCGCGGTGTTTGTTCGCTCGCTTGTTCGCCTGCCGACGCAACGTAATGTCTGTTTATCGCAGCGTCCGATTCGCAGATCTTAATCAGATGCGCCAGCGTCACGGACGGCGGGGAACATGCGGGAGCTTCAGCTTCAGCTTCAGCTTCAGCAGAGGCGCAGCCGGCGCCGAACTTATAGCGACAGAGGGCACGGCCCGAATTTGCTGGGGCAAGCTGGTGCGGCATAGCTGCTGGAACGAGCATTCTCCAGCGAAAGTGATGCTGACTGTGCCCATGTCAATAAAAGTCGGAGTGGTCGCTTACCGACGTATCACACCGTTTTTTCACGCAGTTTCCCATTTACGCTACAGAATGGCGCCTTGTCTCTCAGCTGGCGCCGTCCCACCATCGGCTAACACAGCCCAACAACGGCACGCGGCCGCGGCTGAACGAACAATGCCCGGCTCGGGCCGGCGCCGGCCGCGTGACCTTGAGTCGCTGCCTCGCCGCCGGTACAGGTCAGAGGTCAGCGGCGAGACAGGCGGACGGCCGGGCGCGGAAGAAGTCGGCTGCGGCCGCGGATGGTGGAGCTCGGATGTGGTCGCATCGCGTCGTGGTTCTCCCGCTTAAAAATCGCAAGCAACGGTTTTTGAAAAAAGAGCTGACGAAGAAAGCGACGCCCGTGGTCACCGAAAGCAGGGGGGATGCGCAGGGGGATTAGCATTTGACAGTGATTTAGCGAAGGCTGGGGAGGGAAAATGTAAGAGGAAGCGAATCGCCCTTGCGATGTCTTATCGCAGCCTTTAACTGAGATGAATGGTGACCAGATGATGTGCAAAACACCTTCCACTTGAGGCGCGATTATTCTATTTATCGCATGAGTTATGGAGTCCTGTAGTCTGGACAGAGAAGCTGCTGTTCGCCTTGGTACGAAGTGGGGACTCAGGGCCGCACGTGTAACTCATCTGAAGCGTGCCTTTTACGCTGGCGTCATCAGACGCGTCGGGCCGGGAGGAAGCGTGCCAGCTCTTCAGGGCCTAACCTGCCGGTTGTGAATTAACGGATGACCTCTGTGCAAGCCAGGGAAAACATGCACGTTAACTGGCTTGCTAATCGGGAGTGAGGCAAGCCTAGCAAGAGGACTGCAATGCGCCACATACAACATGTGTACACTGGAAACGATAGCGTCAGCTGGCGCGCATCGCACGCTTGAGGAACAAAAACAAATGGAGGCCTGCGGTGTGTCCATGGGATGATGGGGATAACGTCCTCCATATCCTCCTCACCGCCAGCTCAGACCGGCCTCATTGCGGTCGCAGAAGCCGCCGGGCTCACCTGGTAACCCGGAACCAGCCGGCGAGTCGACGCGGCATTGGTACCTCCCCGAACGGGGAGTGTTTATGCAAAGCGTCCCACGCGCTGCCCCCAATGTCAAGGCCGCTGTGGCGTGCGCATGCGCAGAGCTGCCGTGCCCGCCCTCCGATGATATACGGGACGGCTCAGTGGGCTGCTGTGCTGAGGGTTCTCCTGTTGTGCCGGCAGTTTTGCTTAGATTAAGGTAAGATCGCCCGCGTTGGAGTTGATAACGCCTGCCATGTTCACTTGTTTGGTTGTGTGAGTGGCGAGGCTGTTCTCTGTTCAGCCGCGTGTTACAATTCTGAGTAAAAAAACTCATTAGTGTGGAGAAGCTATAAATGGACTGAATGACATGCCGACATGTTTTGTGTACGCCAACTGCAGCAACGAATCAAACTTCTTCACCGTGCGTTCAAAGTTCTGGGGAAATCGACGTGCTCAGTGACGTCATCACGACAACGAACTTTTCAAATTAATTCTGCGCGCGCGTGCGAATGACGAGAGCGGTCGTGTGGTCACCAGAGCATTTCCAACGTGTAGCCAGCATAGGCATAACAAACGCCCTTTTGTGTTCGGCCTGATCAGCCAGAACTCACTGGCAACATCACCGGTAAAAACGGGCACCGCGACTGTCGCGCTCACAAGTATGCTTCGCTGAATTGCCTGTCTGCGCCGTTACCTATTTCACAAGCGTGCTACTGAAGTGCGAACCAGCTAAGCCATCGTAGCAATGGTGCGAAGGCCGAGACGCACTGTGCGCTTCTGACGTTTAGGAAGCAAGACATTCGCTTCGCGTGCGGCTAAATTGCCTCGATGTAGACGGCCCGGCTACAGACCTTTAACTAGAGATTTTATATTTGGCTACCAGCCGGTGTTGTGTCACCATGTTTAGCGTATGACGACTGATCAGGTCTGTTTTGATTGTTGATTTACCTGCAGCCAGCGAGTCGAACGTTACTGGCAGGACAGCTGTTCGACGTTTTCTTTTGTGTTTGATGAAAGCTGAACGGGACAGTTGTGAAGTTCCCTGCTACGTTAGCTGACAGCCGCTTTCACTATAGTCAAAATCTCGCGAGTTTTTAAGTGCATTTGCGAGGAACAATATTCACATGGATAACATAAATCGTTTCGACGAAGTTTCGCTACTTATGAGTTTGATAAACCGTTTCGTTTCGATAAAGGCATGCTGTCCAAATATCTGACCAGTGACCAGTGTGTTCGGCATGACCAAACAAACGCTGCGAGCGCCGATGACTTCAGCGCGGCTAGACTGAGAAACAAATTATTCAAACAAAACGCCAAGTGATTTATTCACTGACCGGAAGACCTGGTCTTGTCCGCATGACCTGGTCTTGTGGCCGAACGGGCGAAATGATGCTTCGACATTTCAGTTACCGTACAAGACGGCGGCACATCAGTAGATGCATACTGACTCAAGGGTTAACGGACAAACATAACTAATGGAAAACATACTGACCAACATTTTGAGGGGCTGCACGGCCGACTGCAAGACAGACAAGCTGGCTGTGGCGACCGCGGTTGGCACGTGCAGTTCAAAGCGGCACGATCTACCAATGACAGAAAGCGTGAAAGACAAATGCCACCCGTCCGTCATAATGACATCCAACGCGTGACCTAAACATCCAACTCATACATCACCAGATCCATGCATGCGGCCGGAGCTTGCCTCCGGCGTCGTTCCCACCAAACGCCACCGTGCTCTCGTCAGCCCCCCGGGCTCGGACCTACGACCAATCACCGTCGCCCTCCGTTCTGCCTGCCAGGTGGATCTAAGTCAATAGGCCCGGCCCGCCATGCAGCCCCTCAGCGCCGCTCTCCTGCTCAGCAGCGTTAGTGGTGAGCTTGGCACGTGCCGTCCAGCTGACTGTGGTCTACTGCAGCAGCGGGACTGTTCTAAATGCATTGTCTATAGTTAAACGCTTTCAATGCCATCTTTCTGTTTTTGTTTAAACTTATGCAGAGCATGTCTGATTGCTGCGCACTCTCACACAATGGTGGTTTTACTAGCTGTTCTTACAACAACATAAAATTTCGCTCAGGTTTTACCATAGCGCACATGTAGTGTGTGGAAGGTGGGAATAGGGTGGCAGTGGGGTGGCGGGCAGTAGGTAAACGCACACCCCTACCCATCTCTTGATAAGTTCATCTCTAGCTTAGTGGCATCTCATGACAAACTGCAGGGGTACAGTCACGCCAGCTGACATCTCCTCAGAAGATCCGCCACCACTGATGTGCTCGAGGTGTCCTGAGCGTCAGGTGACCTCTGCTGGGTGCGTGGGGTCATTTCAGCCCTGGTCACCTCCCAGGCGACCACATCCGGCAAGTTTCGCTGCCAGACGGCCGGGTTCCACCGCGATCCCAACAACTGCGCAATCTTCTACAGGTGGGAACCCTACTTCTGCCGTCTGTAGATGTTTGTACACGAATGTAGAAACGAGGGGTGAGACCATGCGACCCGCAGCCCCTTAACTTTGCACGCAAGTTCAACATTGACTTACCTCGGGAATGAAAAAGACTCACTCCAAAACGGGACTTGGCTTCTTCATTTCTTGGGGTGCCTCCACGCCCGCGGAGCAAATAGGCTGCCACCAGCGCAATTGATCGAAGCACAGAAGATCGACGAAAAATATACTTGCCTTAAAATTTACCCCGGTAGAAATGATGGCTGGGCCGCCAACTGCGGACCCATTGCGCCCGTGTTTTGCTTCTGGTACAAACACACCATGCCCCTTAACACGCGCTCGGGTGGGGTGGGGGTCAAATTAACCCCCGAAGGTTTTTCCAGAATGGCTTCCGAAAGCCGCGGCGTAGCCGCGCCAAACTTTGCATAGCTATAGACAATTGAATAGCGAATCGTTTGATATAAACAAATTTAGATTTTCCTTGTAAGGTCACTGACCTATGGCAGGTCAAAGTCAGACCATGGTTTCAGCGAAGACAATTTCTAGGGAATCATTCAATCTGATCCAACAGCGGAATGCTAGACGAAGCCATACATCTCTGAGATGCTTTCTTAGGCAACAAAACAGTTAAATGAGCAAAACTTATTGACCTGAGGTCAGGTGTGAAGGTCACACCAAGGTCAAAACCAAGCTGTTTTGTTACTTTAGGGCTTGCTGTTTGGGATGGTTTCTGGTGCTCATTTCGAGTTAATGGATAGCAGGAACCGCATTATACATCGTCCATGGACTTCTTAGAGGTCGGAATAGGTCATTGACCTAAAATATCCCAGATCAACATTTTATTTTAGAAATATGCTGCCTAGCGTAATCTTTGTCGCTTGGTCAGATGCAAAACTCAAAGCAAACTTGTATGATTTTGGCCACCTTGACCTTAAAAAGGCTAAACAAGGTCACTGACCTTGAATGAGAATGTGGCCTTTTGCTTAGAAACGGCTTTATAGGTTCTGGGGGCACTTTGGAGACCAACCTGGAACTTGACCTTGTTTGATCTTTTTGACCCAAAGGTCATGACCTAGGAACATGAAACTTTGACCTAAGTGAGTTCATGTACAGGTCAACTCACCCTGTAAATTTGGTACCTCTAGCTTTCTTAGTTCCCGAGATCTCAGAGGGGTCAAATTGCCCCCCCATCCGAACGAAGGGTATCTAGCCGGCTACCCGGGCACGTGTTAACAAACGTGTTAGGCTTAAGGTTCAGAAACAGGTTTTAGGAAGTGGTTTCAATTTAAGGGCAGATATTGGAGGCATGAACTACTTCTGAACACAATAGGTCATTTCTCTTCATGCTAAATAAAAGGGAACGAAAGACCTCCATTAAAGAATGCTTTCCTGTTGTTCCCCACAACCGCTTTGAATGAATATGTCTCAGCTTAAATCTGCGCTAGGTGGCCGCCCCGGTGATAAGATACAGTCAAGCCACAGTACTCGAAATAACGTTCTGCAGTGTGGCGGACAGAACCAGGGCCAGTGGCAAACATACGTTTAGCTGTGATTATTGTGGAGCTGTAATAGTATTGAGACACTGCAGCTTTGCTACGACTTGATTGATCGTTGCGGCCTGTTACTTTCTGTTTTTGGTGAGCTCTCCGTGGCTGTAAAATAACGGTCGCTGCGAACTTAAAAAGCAGAAATGATAAGACAGAAAGGCGGCAACAAAGGCAGAAATAAAGCGTTTGTATGATAAATAAGGCAGAAATAAATCGTTTGTTCTGACTTTCGTCTATCTCATAACCGCCATTTGCACATGCCATTCGGTTCCTATTGACCGCTTACATACAGCTAGCGTTCTCTGCACCTCCTGCTTTGACAGCGGTCTGCTTACAGGTACCGATTTATCGCTTGTCTGCGTATGTCATGGTGCTCGCGCGTGGTTAGTTTGTAACGGCGCTGACTCCGGTCGTAGGTGTGTGTCGTTCTGGGGCGGCAGCCAGCTGCGACCAGTGATGTTCAGCTGTAAGGAACCGACTGTCTTCGACGCTTCTCTGCGGGTGAGGTTTTCTTCTTCCTCTCTTCATCGATGGGTTCTTTTCGGAACAAACCCGGATGTGGAAATCGGGTTAAGGTGTTTTTACGTATGCGTGTACGCACGTGCACGACACGTGCTTTGCTCTAATCTTTATCTGGTTGCTGGTGAAGAGTGGGCGCATTTTAGCTGTATCGGACATCTTGAACTGAAATAAAACTGAACTGATGGCTCCGATTTAGTGCAGATGGCCCCAACTGAAGAGCATTCGTTCATTCGCCCCTAATGGGACTGAAGCATGCTGAGCCGTACGTGCGAAGGTTATCGGACGACTGGGTGGCCCGGCTGAGAGACAGCTAATTTTTCCAGGTCTGCCAGTTCCCCTGGAGAACGAAGCCTCCATGTGTGAAAAATGCGAACGGTGTTTGGGTTGAGGATGAAGCACGGCCGACTGTGCTGCCACCTGTCGAAGTTCTGCCGAACATCACCGTGATCGAGTTGGGCTCTGCCGACTTCGTGACGTCACCGCCACCCACCTATCAGGTGAGACCACCTCAGCATGCCGTACTGACGAATGCGTTATAAGGACGCGTGGAGATAACTGGCAGTATGCGTACTACCCTCATCACCGCGGCGGTTACAAGGTCACGATGTGGCAACACTGGCGATGACCGCAGGCCATTGGGTATCATCCCAAACCTCATGCGAAACACGCAAGTATTAAATCTTTTTACACATGCAGCGGGCGCCAAACGTCATGGCGGCCAGCGGGTGAACTTCAGCCTTCTCTACTACCCGGCAGGTGGCGGCCGGCAGTCCCTACGCCTGTCCTGGCCCGGGCGAATACTTCGCTCGGCAGGGCGACGCCTGCGTCTTCTACTACCAGTGCGCTGAAACGGCGCCGGGGGTGGTGAACGGTGAGGGATGCCCGTACGGCCTGGGCGGGCCCTCCATGCGCCATGCCGCGGCAGGTGCGGTCGAAAGGGGGTGACGGGCAAAGACGCGGGAACGGCGGCGGGGGCGGGGGGGGGGGGGGCTGCTGGCTCCCACCCCCACCCCCAGCTTTGACGGCCCATTCTCGACATCGACGGTCCATTCCGGCCTGTGCGTGGCTCATTCTCATCCGTAGAGGGGCCCATTCAGGCTGCAGTGGCCCATTATTAACCGTGGAGGGCCATTTCCGTCTACAGTGGGCTATTCTGACTTGTAGTTGGCCCACTCTGACCCGTAGAAGGCTGTTTGCCGATTATGGAGTGTCTGTCCTGGCATGTACGGGCCCATTCAGGCGTGTAAAGGGCCCATTAGTGACTGTAGAGAGCCCTGAAGAGAGCCCATTCTGGGCTGTAGAGGTCCCATTCTGACTTGTAGAGGACCCATTCTGGCCTGTAGATGGTCCATTCTGACCTGTAAGGAGCCCTTTCTGGCGTAACAACGGCCATCTTCGGACCCGCGGAGGCCCTGTTCTGACCTGTAGTTGGCTCACCATAACCCGTAAAGGGTCCATTATTGGGTGTGGATGGTCTATTTTTCCCTGCAGGCGGCCCATTATTATGCGTATGGGGCAATTCTGACATGAAGAGGGTCCATTATTGACTTGAGCCTGTAGGGATCCACTATCTAATCTTAGAGGCCCCTTTCAGCATTTTGGAGTTTCCCCTCAACTTGAACATAGTTCGCGCGCCCTTTATGGTGTTGATGGATGGAGTAGCAGCTTGAAGGCGTGTTTCACATCACCTTTCACTGATCTTACCGTCGTTTCAGCAGATTACTTTTGACATCGCTCGCCTCTGTTGCCGCGCCACATACGTCTTTCCTAACGCTGTTTTTCATCCCCACGTGGTGAGAGGACCGCCTCGTTCAGTCAGACCTATAGGGGCCCACTACGGCCGCCCTCTGTCCCGTCCTCAGCCGGCGCCTCTGCGACGCCGGTGCGGCGTACGGCTAGCCTGACCCGACGCGCGCCGCCCCACAGCCACTCTGTTCCGGTGTGCGGACGGCCAGATCTTCACAGAGACGACGGGCGCGTGCGTGCGGCCGTCGCCGCTGCCGGCGTGCGGCCAGATCTCGTCAGACTCGGACCTGGACGAGGCGCTGGACGTTCCGGTCCAGCAGCCGGTGTACGACGACCAGGACCTCTACCTGGAGCTGGAGTTCCGGAAGTGAACGGTGTGGGTCTCGGAAGGGGCCGCATGGAGATAGGGAAGTAAACCTCCCGGAGTTCCTGCCGGAAGCTTCCTGGAGTTCTGGAGGGAAGCCGCCTTGAGTTCCTGGAGGAAGCTACCTGGAGTTGCTAGACTGAGCGGCCATGAGTTCCGAATCGAGCTGCTCTGAAGTTCCGTAGCGAAGCTCCCGGAGTTTCGTAATTAATCGTCAGGAGTTCCTGGGTGAGCCACCGGGGTTCCGAAATGATCCACCCGAGTTCCTGAATGATCTTCTAGAGTTCCAGAGTTCCTGAATAGTCCGCCGTGGTTCCGGGATGAGCTGCAAAATTTTCGGAGAGATCCGCCGGAGTTCCGGAGTGACCCGCCGGAGTTTCGGAGTGATCCGCCCGGAGTTCCGGAGTGATCCGCCGGAGTTCCGGAGTGAGGCGCCCTGGGCGGCCAGCCGGGCGGACCGTGACCCGACCGGACACAGCGGCGCGTCGTCTCACGACCCGGAAGTCCGGTTCCGCCCAGAGAGCTGGTGGCCGTTGGTTGGGTGGCCAGCGCTCTGCCCTCACAAGGATAGAAGTAGGCCAGTGCAGTGGATGTTTGTAAATATATGTGTGAGGTGCATGTGTGAAAAGGAACTGGAGATGAGTGTGAGAAGAGGTGAAATGCGGGTAAAATAGGCGTGTTGAGTGGATGCTGTGAGGAGCCCGATATTGTGGCCGCCCAGTTGTGTCTGTGTGCAGGAAAAGGAAATTCCAAACAAATCTGACTTACTCTGGGATTTTCTGAGCTTTGGATGATACCACGTGAGCTTTGGATGATATCTCGCGAGCTTTGGATGATACCACGAGCGAAAAATCATTCAATGCAGTCTGACCGCTGATTGCTGTTATTTAGAACAGCCGCTAAACGTACAGTATGTTTGTGCACACAAATACAAGTGTGCATTGTTTACAGCCTGAAAATTATTTGATGCAAGTGAATAAGCATAGATCAATCTGCTCCCACATGGATGACAACCGAACCGACGTTTATGTGTGATGATTAATGCCTACTGTAATTGTGCCAAAATATAGTTCATTGACAGTTGATTGCGTGACCTACCGTACGGAACGGTGATTTTTTGAGAACCAGAAAACGGAGGAGTACCTACGACATCGCGCATCAAAACGGAGAGGTAAAGCCAGGTTGGTTTCATGGTACGCGGTTCTTGGAAAAAAGAATCAAAGAAGCGACTCATGACGAAAAACACGGTTTCCAGATGGAGGCCAACCCAGTCACCAATAGTACAGCTTCGATGTAATTACAGTACTTCCTTCAAACCGCTTAGTCTCAGCATGCAACAGGGGATTAGAGTGGTTCAGCTATTTCACTGGACACCAGGAATACATACATTCTACAATGGGACCCTCCGTCCATTACGTCACGCGTTTTTGTCCATTTTCAATCCTTCCTCCCCGCGTATATGCAATGGCTACGCTGGCCGAAACATCCATTTCCCCTGGTTAAGCTTTTTCAGCGTAAGCTTAACAGATGATTTGGCCCCAAATTGAACTCGAGATGTGCAGCAAATTCAGAACCAGCCAGCGGCATGCGGCATACGGTTGTAATATGATTTTAAGGGTTTGGGCTTGATTTGCAACCATACGTAAGCGCAACGTTACGCCGTCCAACCCCCCCCCCCCCTCCTTAGCTTGACACGCCTTTGTCACGCTCCACCAAGGCCTCCTTACTTCCCTTCCCCCCCCCTCCATATGTAACGTAAGTCATGGAAAGCCCAATGCTTAGAGCTGGAATGGTACGGAAGCCTGAAACATTGGCTTATTGAAGGCCGTCTGGTGTATAGGTGACATGAGGATGACGCGTGCAACGTATCTCCCCGCACCGCGCCATTATAACCCTCTGTCAGCTTGCACATGACTTGCACCCAAACATGATTACCGTCCTTTGCTGATTGCCCATCACGTGGAATGATTATCCCCGAGGTTTGTCACGCGCCATAGATCTCCATTCAAATTTGTCATAATCCGAACGGACTTCCGCTCCAACAAAGCAGAGTGGCTGTCAACGTTCCCCTATCTATGGTACGGAATGGTGCGCAGTCAGCTGCGCATTTTCAGGTAGAAGCCTCCGCAGGTTCCCCCCCCCCCCACATCCCTCCATCACCAGCATATGATTTTAGGTAGACCCATACAACTAAGCAAATGGGCCACCATGCGACATTTGCACCTTGTAAGATATTTCGGGCATTACGGCGCACTTAGCAGCGGTTTAAAAGATTACTGTTTAGTTGTGCTCTCCCCATTTCGAAATCGTGCACATCCTTCCGTATGCAATGCAATCTCGATGCTGCAATCATGTTGCACGAATGCTGTTTATTGCAATTTAGACAAAACTAATCGCGGAATCAAACGCACTGTCTAAGTTCGTCTTGACATTAGCCAAATATCAGTTATCATGCAATTTGCAACTCCGCTGAAGGCGAGCGTAAAGAAAAATTGCTTATTTATGCTATTAAAGCCTATTACGTTACGCACCAACCCACCGTGCGTAGTTAATTTAAATTCATCTGTCTTATGGAATTCAAATTCACCTGCTTTATGGATCGTATCTGGTTCATGGTTCTGGGTATACCGGGCATCTTCCTTCCTTTTCTCTGCATAATGCAGGACATGTCATCACATATTTGCCGCGTCCACCAGACGTCCAACATAGAAGCCGCTATCATCAACATCTTTTTTGACAATGATCACAATTTTAGTCATCATAAAAATTTAAAAAATCCATTTTTTCAGCAATAATCAAGGATGTTCGTGAACAAACCGGCTGCTTACTAAAGGCAAACACGGCCAGCGATGAGCCAAGCTCAAAAGAGCGCGCGCGCTGACCAGGAGACGTGGTATGCGTGGCAGTTGTAGGTCTACATCATCGCGATTTAAAATGATAATGCTGATGTGTCCAAAAACCTATGCTCAGGGGTCAAGTAAATGCTATCATTAGGGGGCACTGCCACGCACAAACACTGCAAGCGATCATAGTGTGTAGCATCCTTCTAGTTGGGGGCATAGTTTTGTCACTAGACTGGAGGCGAGGTGGGGTCTGAGAAATGGAAGATGACGCAACCAGCCCCGAAATACGCCAAAAACGGCATTCTACCCGGACTTTGTCCACTTCCTCGCAAAGTTTGCGAGGGTAAGGGGGCTGTACAAATCGGAAGGGCTGAAGCCTTACCCCAGCTGAAAAGGAAACTTCACACCTTATACTTGTACAGGCACGAAGTCAAAACAACAACTCATGCTAGATACCCAAAACAAGTGCTTGCTGTTGTGAGAAAATGAGTTTAAAACATTCTAAAGCTTTCGCACCCATTTTTCGTGGACGCAAGGAAATATCCCCGGCTATCAAAACTACGTAAGTTGTTCAGTGCATTAGCGAGGAACATTATTCATATAGATAAGACAGTAGTATTGGCCTTATTCCTCGGATAAAAAACAGGTGAATGGAGATACAGTTGGGTTGATATTTCGGCAACATACCTTTATGGGAACAATAGCAAAAGGAAATTGAAAATTGCCTGCCGATGATCCTACTCGATTTTTCAGGGCACGCATGCACTTAGGGCACTTAGGGCACTTAGGCTTCGAGATGGAAGATTTCGCCAGAGACTTTTTAATGTTATTGTCGTTTTTCCAAGCTATGCGTACGCGCAGTTTTCATTTTTTAACAGTATGTTTGATTTTCCAAGGCAAATGCTCATCTATGTAAGGTAGCGTTACGAATCCGTCTTCCGATAGGACGTGTTCCCGCCTCCTACCACCCATCCCCCCAGGCGCTCTAGACTTTTTTGCTTCCTCCAACAGTCTACCTAAAAGTTGCGGGGAATATCCGTCGCCCAACAGAAAGCCCATTTTTTGTTTAGGCTCTTTCTTTCCTTTCCACTACTTGATGAGCTGTTTAGAGTCCTATGGGACATGTTACGAATTATATTGTGCTTAGTGGAAGTTGGATGCGCTGATTTGCTGTGCAGAATGATATCAGAGTTAGTGGGTTTGATAAAGAGCTCCGTTTCTAACGTTGTGCGGTTGCTCCTCCTTTCCACCGTCACTAGCTTATGCAAATGTGGGGTCCCCTTTCTGTTGTCCGTGCGTCCATACCCCAGCATAATAATCGATGTATTTAGTCAAGAAAGTTGGTTTTAGTGGGCTGGCGGCCAGAGTCTTCGTCTCAAATTGATGTAAAAATATTATCGCCAGAGGAGGAGAGCATGGGTCCCCCCATTGCTATTCCCAATTTCTGTCGGTAAAGGCTATCTCCGAATGAGAAAACATTTTCCTGGAGACACCGCTCTAAGAGACCGCAGATATCCTCTTTTGGTGGACCGAAAGCATCAATTTCGTGAAAATGTTTGCCTTAGTTTGCACGGCCGCGATAGCGTCATTGACTAGTATCTTTCCATATAAATTGGCAACATCTACACTGGACCAACTCATTAAACTAACTTTCTCGGTTCGATGCATCAATGATCATGCTGCGGTGTGGACGCACGGACAGCCTGCCCTTGACAATTTTTTAGAGTTCATGAACAACCAGCATCAAAATCTCGCTTTCACGATGGAGCATTCAGGGGCGGAAAAGGGTTCCATATTTTGATACGCTAGTGACGGTGGAAAGGAGGAACAACCGCACAACGTTAGAAACGGAGCTCTTTATCAAACCCACCAACTCTGGTATCATTCTGCACTGCGAATCAGCGCATCCAACTTCCACTAAGCACAACATAATTCGTAACATGTCCTCATCAGGTAGTGAAAAGGAAAGAAAGAGCAAAAACGAAAAATGGGCTTCGCTGTTGAGCGATGGACATTCTCCGCAACTGTTAGGTACAATGTTGGAAGAAGCAAAAAAATATTGAGCGCCTGGGAGGATGGGTCTTAGGGAGGCGGGAACACGTCCTATCGGAAGACGGATTCTTAACGCTACCTTACATAGATGAGCATTTGCTTTGGAAAAGCAGACACATTGCTAAAAAATGAAAACTGCGCGCACTCATAGCTTGGAAAAACGACAGTAACATTAAAAAGTTTCTGTTGAGTTCTCCATTTCGAAGCCTAAGGGCCGGGTGGCAACATATGTCATAATGCAGTTCTGAGTTTCAAGGGGTTTGCACGCAAAAAAGCGTAATTTACGAAATCAAATAAAGCTATGTGAAAAGAACATCAGAGGGGCATAGTCGATGTCGGGGAGTCCATGCGCCCTATTCGTCTGAGATATAATTAACACCTGCGATACGCTAAAACAAACAGGGAATACCCCTTTCGGTGACCATTTTCTGTCAAAACACGCTCAGGCTGAAATCGAGGGAGGTAAGAACCATGCGCCCCTTTTAGAGCTCAAAGTCGTCTGCGGAGCACAGGACCACCCAGACAGGAAAATAATAGAATCTATTCTTATAAAAAGTCGGCGACCAAATCTTAACATACAGGGTTCATCATGGCCGATCATGCGAAGGTGATATATGTCCTTATGTGTGATGTGGGCTAGCTTAAAATTGTTTACATGTGCAAGTGATACCTGACGTGCGATGTGCGATGCCTGTTCAACTGAAATCGTTTGCATGTACAATTGATGCGTGATGTGTGATGCCTGTCTACTTCAACTCGCTTGCATGTTTGAATGAAGCGTAATGCGCGATGCCCGTTTGCTTGAATTCGTTTGCATGTTCACGTATGTTCGCGTATTCTAATTCTTAGATGGGCACTGTGTCGTGGTAATGGCTGGCAATCGCTCTTTGTATAATCTCCTGATTGTTGGTGTCCTGTAAAAACTGTGGCTTGCTGTTTCAAAAAAGAGCCCTGAAAATCGGGTAGGATCATCGGCAGGCAATTTTTAATTTCCTTTTGCTATTGTTTTAGTAAAGACATGCTGCCGAAATATCAACCTAACTTTTTCCATTCTCCTGTTTTTTTCGAGGAATAAGGCCAATACAACCGCCTTATCCCGCCTATCATTTCAATGGCAAACATCTGCATTATTTTGGACGACGCTTACCACCGCTGAATTACAGTGCTGCGTAATCTAATG